ATGTTAGGTTTTCTAGAATGCGACCCCATTATTAAACGAGGAACACCTGTGGCGTGTAATAATAATCCAAATAAAAAAATCTATCTTGTAAGGTTATTTTTTTTGATTATTTTGATTACTACAGTTATAAAACAAATCTGACTCCAAATGCAAATTAAAATATCTCTCCGAGCCCAGATTTTGTTTAATTTACACACGTTTATCAAATAAGGCATTTCGAAGTTTATGACCTGTCCTTAACCTGGTTGTAATACATAACTACACACTGGTTGTCCATAATGATTAAGTCAAGGTAAAAACGTGTGGTTCCATTTCATTGAGCGATCCCATTTTTTCTGCCTACATACAGTAAATGGTTTTTAGCATTGCCTGTAAACAGTCATGTCCACTTTTTTATCTGCACATAAGAAATAAATTATAGTTCCAATCACATTGAGTAAAAACTGATATTCTGTTCACCCATTACCTGAAGCCATTCCATTGCTAACTAAACAGTACTGGAATATGATTCGATGGATGAATGAGAATGAAGTATGGTTTGACAAAAAGAATGGAATTACAGTACAGTGTGCTTGTATATACAGTATACAGTACTCTCGATTTAACGGAATCCGATATACAGATAATGAACTCTCGATTTAGCGGAAGAAATTTTTCCGATTATTTTTCATTCGATTTAGTGAACTAGTTCGCTAAATAGATTAATTCCATTAATACACTCACACCTACGGAGACACCCGACACATGATAAGTACGTAAAAAACATTAGAAACATTATTCACGGATTACCTTAAACTTGGGGGTTATGTTTGTTTTAAAATTGTTCTTTATTTTTTTTTTCCAATTGACAGCCGCACTCTTTTGACTTACTCCCCCTCACCACTTCCTTTCCAAGCCTTCTGAGAGACTTTTGGCATGATGTCTAAGCACAGTAGTTAAATGACCGGGATGTAGAGAGAGAGGTAGCAGTGAACAGCACATGCAGTGGCGGCAGGACACAGACTGAGCGGATGTAAACAAACTCCACGCACCAAGCAGCACATTTGCCACAGAATTTAACGGAAACTTTATATGTATGTATACATACATCTAGGGCTTAAATTCCTTACTATTTTAGTAAATATCAAAAAGTTTGTACTATTCAATAATTTTAAAAGTTTAATATTAAAATTTTTAGTCATTTTAACAATTATTGAATATAATTGAAGGTAAGGTCACTAGTTTGTGGCGCGCCATCCAGCCTTTTAACACACCAAACAAGCGTTAGTCTCTCTCTGTTTTCAGTGGAGGTAACATCTTGTTTGAGACTCTCTTCAACTAAACACTTTTTTCTGTGTTTGCAAGCAAATTATTGATCATTTTAAAATTTATTTTACATATTGACAATATATAATGCAGTGCAGTGTTGATTTAAAGAAAATAATCTTGAATTACACCAAGAGAACTAAAATTTTATGGGTGAAATGGCACCATGGGGTGACTTCTCTTTCACCCCAATGCCTTCTCTTCTCCTTTCTCCTCCACCCCCATTCTAATTCCCATCATCATCATCATCATCCAGGAGCCTTCTACATACACACCTCAAAGTAAGTGTCAATTTCTAACATTTTTGTTGAATTTAGGCACTTTTCGGTGAGCTGGAACCAATTACCCAAAAACCCCTTGAAACAATGGTTTCGGTTAACGAGCAACCTGCTGGAACGGATTGTGCTCGTTAACCGAGGGACCACTGTATGTATGTATGTCTGTATGTATGTATGTATGTATGTATGTATATACATATACATAATATATATATATATATATGTATGTATATACATATACATAATATATATATATATATATATATATATATATATATATATATATATATATATATATATATATATATATATATATATATATATATATATATATATATATATATATATATATATGTGTGTGTGTGTGTGTGTGTGTGTGGAAAATGGATTTGGGAAATTTTGATCCAATCTAGGGAATTTTCAACCTTAGTCTAGGGAATTCTTCATCTGAACTTGTGGGAACACTGGTCACCTCGTGGTCAGTAACCACTGGTTACACTCACTCAGTACAGCGCTTAGTTGGTGTTGGGCTATCGTATCCTATACTGATCGCGCTGTGTAACTACTTACGTTATTATCGTATTTAATTGACTTTATAATGACTGGAAAGCGTACAAGTGAGAGTGCTGGTGGTGCTCAGAAGAAAACGAGACAGGCAATTACTTTTGAGATGAAAATGAAGATAATAATGCAATATGAGAATGGTAAAACTGTAGCAACAATCTCACGCGACCTAGGTTTCTCGCACTCGACCATATCCACTATTCTGAAGGACAAGGAACGTATTCGTGATGTAGTGAAAGGAACAACACCTATAAAGGGAACTATAATTTCAAAGAAAAGACAAGGTCCTATTCACGACATGGAAAAATTATTGGTGATATGGATAGAAGACCAAATACAGAAGCGTGTACCCTTAAGCCTTTTTACCTTTCAGGCTAAAGCAAGAAGCCTGTTCCAAAGCCTGAAGGAGCAGGCAGGAGATGAATGTGAGCAAACCTTTACAGCAAGTCGTGGGTGGTTTAACAGATTTAAAAAACGACACAGTTTACACAAAGTTAAGGTGAGTGGAGAGGCAGCTAGTGCTGATGTTGGTGCTGCCGAAGCTTTTTAGGAGGAGTTAGATGATGTGATTGTGGAAGGGAATTATTTGCCTGAGCAAATATTCAATGTGGATGAGACTGGATTATTGTGGAAGCGCATGCCTGAGCGGACATACATCCACAAAGAGGCGAAAACAATGCCCGGATTCAAGGCATTCAAGGACAGAATTACACTTCTGTTGGGGGGAAATGTTGCTGGTTTCAAGCTAAAGCCCTTCATGATCTATCATTCAGAGAACCCCAGGGCTTTTAAACATGTCAGCAAGCACACACTGCCAGTGTTTTATCGCAGTAACAAGAAAGCCTGGATGACCCTAGTACTATTTGAGGATTGGTTCATGACTTGTTTCATTCCACGAGCCAAGGAGTATTGTCTGCAACAAAGGATTCCATTCAAGATTTTACTGATTTTGGATAATGCTCCGGGACACCCACCACACCTGGACGACATGCACCCTGATGTTAAGGTAGTGTACATGCCACCTAACACTACCTCTATCATCCAACCCATGGATCAAAGTGTTATTTCTGCCTTTAAAGCATATTATTTACGCACGACCTTCGCTCAGGCTGTTGCTGCTACTGAAGGTGAGAAAACGCTCAGACAGTTTTGGAAGGAGTACAACATTTTGTCATGTATAAAGAACATTAGTGTAGCATAGGATCAGGTTACAAAACATTGCATGAATGGAATATGGAAGAAAATCCTGAAAAGATATGTGAACAGTTTCAAAGGATTTAATGAAAGTGAAGTTATTTTGGATATTAGTAACAAGATAGTGGACTTAGGTAAACAGCTGGAGTTAGAAATTGATACTGAAGATGTTGGACAGTTGGTTGAAAGTGTAGCAGAAGAGCTCAGTAACGAGGATCTTATTGAACTAGATGCACAGAAAGTTGCAGAGGAAGAAGAGAGACAAAATGTAGAAGAAGAGCCTGCACCCCCCCAAAAAGTTTTCAGTGAAACATATGGCAGAGGCATTTGCTACAATTAATAAAGCAATGCAAATGTTTGATGACATGGATCAAAATTATGAGCGTTATGCCAAAGTTGACAGAATGATCCAAGATTCACTTGCTTGCTACAGAGAAATTTATAATGAAAAGAAAAAGCAAACTGTGCAGTCTAAATTGGACACCTATTTCAAGAAGTCCCCCAGTACTGGCTCCTCACGCCCCACCAGTGCTGCCTCTTCACTCCCTCAAGATGATCCAATACCTTCAACCAGCAAGTTACCCCTGTACATAAACCTGTCTGAAGGAAGCGACATTGATGACCCACCCAGCCCTGTCTCCTCTTCTGCTTCTTCCAATTAATATAGTCTCCATGTATCCTGTAAATAGAAAATTATGGGGGCCCCGTGTGCATTCAGCTGACTTCATTTAAGGTAAGTGCTGAGGCACACTGTATCCATTCCTCATTATTTATTACTTTTACTGTACTGTATCCATTCCTCATTATTTTTTACGTTTAGTGTACTGTATTTCATTGTAGATTTTTAAAAAAAATTTGAAAAAAAAAAATTTTTGAATTTTTTTTTTTTGAAAATTTTTTTATTTTTATTTTTTATTTTATCTATATCGGACTTACGACCATATCGGACTTACGACCTGGATTTGGGTCCCTAACCCCGTCGTGTGAAAGTCGGCTTAGGTGTATATATATATATATATATATATATATATATATATATATATATATATATATATATATATATATATATATATATATATATATATAATATATATATATATATATATATATATATATATACATATATATATATATATATACATATATATATATATATATACATATATATATACACACACACATACACCTGTATATTATAAACTTAAAAAGAACATTAAGTATTTGTTTACAGTATTAATAATTTGATGTTCCTTGTAATTTTTTAAATGATAAATGTAATGATGTACTAGTTATATTCTGTACTAAGGCTTCATGCCTGTACAGTATATCCAGCACATCATCAGCTTCTCTGACTTTACAGTAAGTTCTCGCTTAACGTTGTCCCAGACAATGTTATTTCATTATAATGTTGCTACTCTTTAGATACCCATGCTTCTGACAACGTTGTTTTACGACCCGACCGATTCATTATAACGTTGTCACCCAACATGGACTACTTTGTATGGCGCACCACCCTCTCTCATCTTACGCACTATGCTCTCTCGCGGAGCATGACAGCGTCCCCAAGCGTTTTTTTCCCAGTCTTTGTTAAGCTTCCACAGCATATGTGCGTGCTAAAGTATTTTTGCTATAAATACTGTACAGTAACCATTTGAAATGGCTCCCAAGCACTCATCAAGTGTTAGTGATGCTAGTGTTGTGAAGAAGCAATGCAAGACCATTAGCCTTGCTACGAAAATTGAGGTTTTAAACCATTTTGAGAAAGGTGAACGTGCTGTGGACATTGGTGTAGCGTAAGGCCTAACTCCCACAACAGTGCATACTACCCTACCCCTCTCCACTATCCAACACACACTCGCTCCACCTCTGTCCTATCAGTGATTACAATACAAAAGGATTGTATTATCTTATTAATTAAACATTAATTTAGTTTACCTATTGTTTTGGAAGTATAATATTTATTTTCGATAAAAATTCCATTGAATTTATGTATGTTATATATTTTATGGGGCAAGGGGGAGGCTGGGGAACAGAACTAGCAAATTTTTTCTATTTCTCATGGGGAAAATTTATTCTGTTAACGTTGTGTTTTACAAGAACGTAACCACAACGTTAAGCGAGGACTTCCTGCACTTGACAATATAGCAGGCAGGTTAATGGCTCTACAACATGTGTGGCAAAGGTTTGTAGATGAACATGGTATCTTGACCTGACTGGTCCTTGTCCAAACACTCAGTTGAGTTGCTCCATACATCCACAGTGTGCAGCAACAAGTTGTGTGGTCTAATTTGGTTTGTTGATGTTTCTTGAACAGCTTAACCCCTTCAGTTCAGAGGCGCCACTTATATTATTTGGTTAACGCCAGGCGAGTTTTTTTTCAGCACAGAAAGGACCCGGTAAATGCTATGACCTCGGGCACTGCTTTGCATAATTTTGAAAGTCTTGAGCATATCCCCAAGTATACTGTACTGTTGACATAACCTTCAGCATTCTCAAGTCTTCATTACAAATGACTAAAAATTTATCAATTTTAATTGCAAATAATTATGGCAAAAATTTCAAGATGCAATGAACTGGAAGCAAACATTATTTACCTTAACCTAAGTTTACAAGATTTAGCAGTCTGACATTGTCAAAAATACACGACTTCTCCCGATCATATGACCACATAAAATTTTACAAAACCAAGAAAAAATATAAATAAATAAATAACCTAATTTTTGCAAATAAAACTACTTTCATTCCTTAAAAAATCCCCCAATAATATAATATACAGTACATGAAATTATATTGTCTATATAATAAAAACAAATTAGAATACATTAGCTAAGTAATTTGCACAAACTTTAAATTCACCCTTAGACGGCAGCAGGGTTGATTGAGAGAGCACCCAGTAAAAAATATTTTACAGATAGATGCCGATGACCAATCAAATCCAACATAAATAAAGATCCACCACATAATGAGATGTCGCAACACCATCTACAGGGGTATATATAGACTCTACCGCAATATAAAGCCTCTGTATATATGTACTATACGGTATATACATGTACCTGTATGAGCCTTTACTTCTAGCATTATTTTATCAAAATAGTAAGGATACTTTTTGCAGTAAAATATGCAGTTTGTATTTAGTTATTATTCATAAGTAAGGAAGGTACGTACAATATCTGGAGCCATTCACACACACAGCCAAAGCTGTGTCCAGGGTCCTGAAGGACTAATTTAACTTCAGTGTCTCCAGCAAATCAAAACGCGTCTCTACTAACAAGAGAATTGCTCATCCATCTGACCTGAATACTGTCATCATCATCAGCTTCCTCACTTGATTGAATATCTTCAGGATCCTCTGCAATCTCAAGCTGTAACTGCCATCACTGTCCTTTCCAGAATCTGCATCACCTCTGATATCATCCATAAATTCATCAACAACATCCTGCTCTAAAATAAACTGTTTATCACTATCAAAAATGTTCCTACTCCTTCAAAACATGGCTTTGGCTGTTAGTTCTATTTACACGGAATAAAAATTAAAGTACACGTACAGTAGTTTTATGGGGAAAAATAAAAATAAAAAGCATAATTCTTGAAAAATATCTAAGCAAATATGCAGACTTCTATGAAATAATTAGAGCATGGAGCGAGACTCTAGTGTGAGATCTTTTCCTCCAAAAAAGCTGGATCCAGACTGACTGATACCGCCTTGAGGAGCCTTCCCTCAACCCTGCAGTTGCCAATTAGTGATATCTCTTAACAATTCTGAGTATCTAGGGCACAAATAAATGAGTGACTATATATAGACTTCACAAAGAAATAAAGGCAGCAATTTTTGAAAAGGCATCTAGATATAGGCTCGCCACATTTTAGGCCAATCTATACTATATAGTTTTGCAGCCGTCTAAGGGTTAAAGCTTTGCATTTCCAAGCCTGAACCCAATACAGCAAGGAGTAATTCCCTGGTTATGAAGCATTCAGCAGCTAGTGGATTTCCCCACACCTTTGGCAGGAAGCTCGTCCACTGTCAGGTTTCTCACTGGCAAATGAAAATTACTCACTGAATTCTATATGGTCACTATATTTCACCAAAGACACTTAAGTTTGGGCCCACAAACCTTATTACAATCACCATACAGCTTACCATGTATACATGGCAATGTGTATTTTAACACAGGTTGTCAATATTTTTCACATTTGGCAGAGGCATTAAATTCATATATTATAACTTATTTTAAAATTTTCACTTCAAATAATAATCCATATAAAAATTTAAATATTTGAATATATCAATAAACCATACCTAAAGTTTCCACTATATTATGATAAGCTTAAAGAATCTGGAATTCCTTTTTCAGCTCAGCCATTAGTTTCCAATCAGTCTTGCTGAGATCATCTCTAAAATGGTCTTTACATGCATTGATTGACTCTCGGGATATCTTGCTAACCAATATATCTTCAATTTCAAAGTGTCGACCAACGAGCTTGGGTGTGTGCCCTGGGACGGGCTCTATTTTAATGCACACATCCACACCTTTCTTCGCAAGGTCAACATTTTTATGGTCAAACTCCATCGAAGTTACGATACCTATTTCAACAAACTGAAAAGAAAAGAACAATGTAATGTATGACAAAGATGTATCACCAATTTTTTTCACCATCAACATAGTTTGAAGCAAAGTAACTGACCTATCACACACACACAAGTAGTCTGTCATGAACTGTTCTGCTTCTCCCATTCCCACAAAAACAATTAGCACAATTTCTACTTGGCACTAAATTCAAAGCACTCACACACATTTATTCCTCCCTAAAATAGAATCTGTAAGCACTGTTCTTCCATTGATTCCTACAATATGCCTTTATTAATTTTTAAGCAAACAACCTACAGTATATACTGTATACTTAAAATTGGCAAATGCCCATTCAATAAAAACAATTTCCAAAAAGATATTGTTTTGGGAACAGAAGGATGTCTCCCAAATGAATGGTTTCTTCTACTGCAAGTTTTTATTAGTGTGGTTACTTTTGTCTTTGCCACATTCACTCTCAGGGCCTTTGCCTATTCCACCCTTCCATTTCATAAATTTCTCCAATACCTCTTCAATTCTGTTAACAACTCTAAATCATCAGTTTAAAACAACTCCCAAGAATGACAAAATTAACTGATATCTCTTTCGACAATTACTGTATACTGCAAAAAACCATACATGTCAAAGTAAAAATCGGATGTATTTAAAAGAAATAAAAAAGAAGCCCAAGATAATTCCACTCATTTAATAACACTTTCTCTGGTGACCCATAACTACTGTACACTAAATATTAACATCTTGTGTAAAAAAAAAAAAAGACCTAACAAGAAATAAATAAAGGATTCAGGTACCATAGTTATTTTGTACTGAACTTTCAGGTCAAATCCAGAAAGGATGAAAAGAAGTCAGGTAGAGCCCATCATAGGAAGTTCCCATAGATAACAGACACACTACCAGAGACAGAACAATACAGTGCACCAGACTTAAATACAAACCTTCCTACCTGAAAACTACTGTTTATATCATCTTCACCACCATTTTACACTCATTTTCTATGCCTGTGTGGGTTAGCAATGATTACTTGATGACGTGGTGTCCTGGTTGCCATCAGGCAAATTTGAAGTAGGTGTTACAGCTGCAATCCCTTCCTATTACCAACCCACTTTTACAAAGTGGGAACTGGGCATTACAGTATACAGGTCCTTCAAGCACCATCTTAGCTGACAAAACAGGGTTGCTATTCCCTGAGGGAATAAAAAAATTCTGCCCACCCTAAAAAAATGGAAAGACTATCGAGACAAATTTTTGTGGTTAAATAGCAGGTTGCTCTGAATGTAATGTCTGTTTCTCAGCCAACAAGGTGTAGAAAAAAGATAACGTCAAGATCTAAAATATGTTCTTTACATTAACTCCCAAAGAAAACAGGATACATGTCTTACCTCCTTTGATGGGACACAGAGAGGTGTACCAGTTCTAAGTATTCCTGATTCAACAGTCACACCCAATACAATGGGATCACGTTTATTGAAAATTGCCTAAAAACAAAAGAGGTAGCATGTTATTATATTTCTTTTATGAAGATCACCACATACAAGTATTTGCAAACTTTCTTTACTGTACATTTCACAGACCATAAACTTTCTCCATGACTTAATCCAGGACCTTCCATTCTATTTCAAACTCACCGTTGGAATTATCTTTAGTCGAGATGGGAACACGGCAACACTTCTGAATTCGTCCTGTCTCCTTTTCTTGAAGTCCTTTATATATTCTACATAACAGTCTCCCAGATGATAAATAGTTTCCTCTGAGAAAATTTTCACACCCTCCTAGATATGGGGGAAAAAATAAAATAAAATTAGGCACAGTGTAAACAAAAACAAACAAAAAATGCCCAAATAAGAACTCATCACAGTGAAATACACAAACAAAACTACAGAATTCTAAAGCAAGCAGCCATGTGCGTCAGTGTTGAAATAAATGCTAAGTGTTATAAAGACAGCCAAATAATGTAGTTTTGGGGTGAGAAAATGAGTCAGAATGGTATTACGGATAATCTTTGGGTGACAATGAATAACTGCAGCTGAAAATAGGTTTCAAGGTTATGTGGACAGCTCGATCATCATCATCGTTGTACGGCCATTTTCCACACTTTCTTGGGCTACCTGATGGCAGCTCTCCATGCTGCAGTCTCTCTTGTTAGGTTTCTAACTCGTATGTCATTTATTATAACCTCACCATTTGAATTTGAAAGCAAGAAAATGTTCAATTCACCAAAGTTGTGTGAAGCAATTTGTTTAAATGTTTTGTGATGCTTCTCTTTACCTTTCTAAGTGAAGAAATATTGTACACCGGGCAGAATTACTGTATTATACACGAGACAGATAGAAATATCGTACAGTTGGACAAATTGTACACATACCTGTATTTTAATATTTTTTTAATTATTTAAATTACCTGTACATTAAGTCCTCGATATATGTGAGGACCACAATCTTACCAAGAATTCAATTAATACGAACAACATTCACCCTCTTGCGAGTCCATGATTAAAAAAATTAAGAATGCAGACAAAATGCCACTCTCTCTGATATGGATTCAAACCCTGATGACTGTGCAGATGTCACTCCAACACCATCACCCACTATGTAAAACCTCAACCACCACTTCCATCATCTTGTCTACCCAAGCTGATGTACAGTAAAGCCTCCAATAACGACAGTTCAACTAACGAAGATTCATATCCAAGACCCTGGTTAATTTAGGACCCAATTCAATTTACGCCATTATTTTCTTTGTATTTACGACGAAATTAAAAAATATATACAGGGAAATACATTTTCGTATAAATAATAACTAAATCCCGATACTATAAAAAAAAAAAAAAAAAACACATGCCTTGCGCACGGAGGCTGCTGGGATTGTTAGCGGTGATGCCAGCATCACTAGTACAAACAATCGCAGCTGGCAGGCCCTTTGTTTTCAAGCCCCCCAGGCCCCGATTTGGGTCAGTGACCTGTGCCCGGGTGGGCTAATTCCCCAAAAAAAAAGAAAAAAAAAAAACATTAGGGGTCCGGGATTGGTGGTTAATCCGAAAATCGGTTAATCGATGTTTTACTGTATAAAGATAATTCAATCAAATACATATTCAGTAATAAACAATAATGAATCTTTTTGTACATATTCTTAAAATGATAAATGACGCGGTATCCTTAAATGCACACGTATATGTTGGTGTTCCCAATCCATCTCATTTTTTCTTTACCATTAGTGGTTAGCTACTTCTTTTGTTCCATTTATTAACATTAAATAGCAATTACTTAAAACATATATATTCATTTTTTTCATTAATTTTACTACAGCTACAACCAGGGTCTTATTTTCTTAATGTTCTTGTGTAGAACTATCGTCCCAGACTCCCGGCTGTAAACACAAACGAAAACAATGGCGTCCCATCTCTTCTTGTGTGACCATATTATTATTCATTTATATTCTATAAGGTGCATTCAGAAACATTATTTAAAGAATATAGTTTGCAATTTTCATTAATTGTATTGTTTTGGGGGAAAAGAAGGGTAAAAAGCCACACAAAAGACATGAAAAGGTCACACTTGGGAACGCATCTCATTATTATTGCTTTATTTTAATGGTAATTAATGATTCGAGATACGATGATTCACCATACACTGCAATATTGGAGGACACATTACCGTCGTTATTCGAGGCTTTACTGTATTTGCTTTTATTGGTTAGTACACTTTACTGTACCCTTGCTTTATCTATTATTTTAAAAATATTATTGTATTGCATTCTTTTATGGTTTATTTGTCTTCAAATTGTGTTGAAATAAATAGCAGTGAAGACTCCCTGTATATAAATAAGTTTTACAAATGTACACAGAAACCACATGCTGACATCGCTGCAAGTTGCAAAAAAGGAGAGGCAGCTTCTAGAGCAAGAGTGTATTAAAAATAGGAGCAAGAGTGTATTTATAAATAGTTAGCTGCAATATAGCTCACACCATGAATTAACAAAGGTCTCAAATTCATAATAATCTATTCTACCATGCTGTGCATACTGTATAGTATTATAATTTCCTGAAAATCAAAGATTTAATAAAAAAAATTGCACACCATCCTTCAATATGGGTCAAAACAATAGTAATGTGGACTTTTATGATAAAGGTTGACACCCCTGATCTACATCAAACAGAAAGACACATTAGAATAAGTGAATGAAAAATGGACAAATGATTTATTTCAAGTAATGGAAAGCATTGGTGGTAAACCTCAGAGATGTTCAGTTATGTGGGACTGTGAATATATACAGTGACTGGAATAAAGTATTGAGTTTTTCTGATAAAACAGCAAAATAAAACACGCACATAAAGCTCCCTTTACTCTAAAAAAAATTCCTTCATTACATGAAATTAGTATAAACACAAGATATATTTAGACAATGTTAAATACCCAAGTTTATAATCACATGTGTGAAAAACCTCACCTTGTCAGCTAATTCTTGAGCATCTTTCTCTACTTTAACATCAAATGCAAGAATGACTGCATACATAGGGTCATGTTCTAGCATAGCGGCTGCTTTCATGACGTCTCTCTTTACCACAGGTCCAACACGAATACCAGAATAAGGTACACTGTTGGCCTTGAAAAATTCAAGGAGGGCTTCCAAAGCACCTAATGTTGAGGCTTGAACATAAACACCTCGCTCCTTCACCTAAAAAAGAAAGAGAAACATATTTATAGTTCTATGCAGTAGCAACTTATGTAGTGCAATAAATCCTGCCAAATTTCAATCTAAGGCACAATAAATTTGAGTACAGTACAGTACAAAATATGTACAACTCGCACAAACTTGCACCTCCCGTGGTACAAAGCCATAAAAAACACTGGATATGGCAATGTTTCTCTTGAGCTGTATGATTTTAAAGGTGTAACTTATCTCTTTAATTCCAAAGGTAACATAAAGAGAAGCTACTAATGTTATTAAGACATTATAATGATATCCACTTTGCAATCAGGCATACCAACCCTTTCAAAACAACAAGAGCCATAATGCTCATTCTCAAATCCACCATACCCAGCTGTAATTATATTTTTCATGCTGTGTGTATAATTGACTTAGAATGTTCCCTTGGTCACCTACTGTAAGACCAACAAAGTAGGATGCACTGATGTAGTTATTAACAAGACCTGTGGCAATATAAACACCTACCTTAATGGACCTCATGGCAGCCTTAAACTCCCTATCTACGTCGTCTTTCAGTAAATCAACCTCATCATCATGGTATGCCACTTGAAGGTTAAGTCCAGCAATTGCCTTTTCAAGGTCACGTGCAGCAATTTTCACACCCTGGGCAGCTGGAATTTCCTTGAATTCATCATACTGACCTTTCACTCGTATCTCTTTTAATGGTTTAGGCAAAAGTAAAGATCTGTAATACAAAAGAAGATAATGTAAGTTTCTTACCATTATCAATACCTGTACATTACTTCAGTTATGCATAAAACCATATTGAATAAGGGATACAAAGTTAATTTATAAGTTGATCTTGTATCTTAACACCTTCAATTGAGTTTAAAATGTCCTGCAGTGCCCAGGACAGTGAGACTTACTTCTTAAAGAGACTCTGTGTAGTTATATACCACATACAGGATTATATATAAAAAATTCAATGCAAATAAAATTCAGTGCTAAGAATCAAATTCAGATACAGGCTAAGAATTAATATGCAAAGGCATCCAAAGGCTTTATTTTAGAGGAAACAAGTTGACAAAATAGCAGAAATCTATAGATTTGATGCAAAATCTGATGACAAGGCTGACAACTTTTATTAATAATGATAAGTATATTAATAAGTAAAAATCTATTTCCAATTTTTTCCTTTGTTATGTTTTGAATAATATAATTCTTCATGTTTTTGCTAGACAAATGTGGAAATTCAACTACAGGTAGTGTACTGTACATATCTTTTGTAGTTGTATGTTTTTCTTTACCTGATTTGTGTAACTATAGGACCCTCTGTGCCAGCCAGGATTATAGTGTCTCCTTCACGAAGTCTACCATTCACCAGGATCACATCTATTGTTGTACCATGACCCTGAATCGTCTTTACTTCTAAGACGGTGCACTGAAAAATAATAGAAAGTACAAAAATACTGTATAATTAAAATATTGCAGAAAAAACAAATGTACACAATAATCAATATACAGCATATATTTATTTATTCATTCAATTATTCAATACCACAATCAGACATGATAATAAAGGTTAACTTAATGATTTCCAGCATCACAAACCTGTAGTTCCTCAGAGAACATTAATCTCTTGTTAAGTCTTTGCTGACACAAATCACACACCATGGCTATTAGGTTACCCATACCATCACCTGAGATGGCACTTGTGGGCACTAGAGAAACATAGGAGCGAGGATTTGGGTTCTCCCAAAACAAGGCAGCATTCAAGCCCTGAAAAATTTATTTTGTAAATTAAATTAATATAAAAAAGATTTCTAAAAGTAAATACATTCTAATGAAATACTGGTACAGTAAAATGGCAACTTTGAATCTCTAACATTACCCATTTTTTAAAAACACAGTAAGAAATAGATAATCTGAAAAACATAATAAATAAATCAATTCAGTTAATAAATAAATCTGAGTACAGTACTATATAGCAGACCCTTGCCATTCACGAGGGATAGGTTCCAAGAAATGGCGCGAATTAGCAAAACCAAAAATAGCAACTTCCACTACCTTAGTGCACTACTGTATACCTATACCAAACAACTGACCAGCTGTGGTAGCACTCATCCCCTCTTTTAACTTATCTAACAATCACACTCTCTTTGTCAGGGTCATCACTAACTTCTGCCTTTTACATTTTACTCCACTAGCATCACTAGCGCTGATACTAGGCAGTCTTTTAGGGGACATTTCACACAGAAACACTAAAGTTTGAGAGTACAACATGAGATGCTGCGTGGGGTGACTCGTTGTGCTGCGGGAAAAGGTTTGCAAGCTAGCCACCATAGCCACCATCTACTTACAGCGATTCATCAAAATTGCGAATCGCAAACTCGCAAATGGCAAGGGTCTATTTTGGAAATCAACAAAATGTCCCCCAAAAGACAGTTTCAACAGGAGGGTCTATCTTAATCTTCCAAAAGGATATGCAAGATGTTGATATCAGCAAAGAAAATTGAAGCAATTCTGGACAAAGGTGTAGGACCTAATCAGCTGATTCAGTACCAGAATATGAGTGTTACAACAGCCCTGATTCTTTTTTAAAACAATAAGTAACAAAGCAGATGAACAAAATATATTCCTCATTTAAAATTACTGATGTATGTAATTAATAACTTAGTCACTACAGCAGCTGATGCAGAGTTACCAAGATCCAGATTATAAAAGGGTCCCAGGTTTCAATGAACGAAAAAAAATCTGGAGTTACAAACTCTTCCCTTTCTTTTTCCATAACGTTTGTAGAGTCAGAAGACGCTGTGGTGCTAACATAAGCATCTTAGGGTTTCACATACTGGACCTGGACAGTTTATGATAAACTTACAACAACATACAGTACTGTACTGTAGTGTGAATCTTAGCAACTTTGCTTCATGGTGTAGCACTATCACTTGCTAGGTGTTTAGAGGCCATAATAAAAATATGGGGGGCACTTTAACACCAATAAAACAACTAGTACCAACACAACACAAAGCGAGCAGGGAAAAAGGGTGGCACCACTTTGAATTTGTAAACATGAAAATGTCCAATTCAGCAAAGTTGTGTGAAACAATTTGTTTAAATGTTTTGTGTTATTTCTCTTTATTTGTTTTAAGTGAAAATATTTGTAAATATTTTAAGAATAATTGTCATACAAAATATAATAATTAGATGTACAGGTTGACAATCCCTTATCCGAAATCCTTGGGGCCAGAGGCATTTCGGTTTTTGGAATTTTTCGGTTTTCAGAATGGTTAGTTTTTTTTTTTTTTTTTTATTAGCCCATCCAGGCACAAGTCACTGACCCATATTGGGGACTGGTGGGGGAGGTGGGGGCGAAAATAGAATAAAAATTATAATAATAATAATAATAATTCATAGGTCTAGGTCGTGTTTCTCACTTTTGATCTTTTTTCATTGTATTTCTTTATTATTATTATTTTATTATTACAGTATTATTGTTATTATTATTATTTTTATCATTATTATTTTATTTTGGTGTATTTTTTATTAAAAATTTTATTTACTATGAATAATCATTATTATTATAATTATTATTACTATTACATTTTCGCTCCCCAGGCCCCGATGTGGGTCAGTGATCTATGCCCGGGTGGGCTAATCTGTTTAAAAAAAAAAAAAATCGCCCCACAATTTTTTTTTTTTCGGTTTTCAGAGCTTTTCGGTTTTTGGAATTTCGGATAAAGGGTTGTCAACCTGTAGTATAAGTTTATGTTAAAAATTATTGACTAGTCAACGAATCGGATATTACACAAAGAACTACTGTATCGTACGCTGGATAGATTGAAACATTGTACAATTGGACCAACTGTACTTACTGCATATTTTAATTATCAATTTAATTACCTGTACTATTTCAAATGACTAACAAAGAGGTGATCCACAACGAGGACTCCCTGTACCCTATATAATTTCACCCATTTCTTAAAACCCCCAAGTATCCCCGATAAAGACAATATGCTGTCCACACAAAAGGTTCACGTAAATAAGTGTGTATATATATATATATATATATATATATATATATATATATATATATATATATATATATATATATATATATATATATATATATATATATATATATATATATATATATATATATATATAAAGAAAGAGAACAGCATCATTTACCTGCTCATTCAAAGCTTGGATAATTTCCTTAGTTCTACGGTCAAAGTCATTCTTGGCTGGTTCCTTCTGTAACTTAATGACTTCACGGATGTCCTTAGCTGGGTTAGATTCCCATTCAAACACTCTGAAAAAAGAACAGACAAAAAGTTGATTCATACATTATAGTTCAGTTTCAAGGAAAATATGTCTCAAGAATATGTCATTAATTTGTCTGACTTATTACTATGTGGAAAACCAACAAGTATATGAACTAAAATCTATCTATATACCTGTATATTTTGGAAGAATGTGAGTAGAGTTTTAAAGTTTGTATGAGAGGGATACAATTTTAAATTTTCACTGGAGAAGCTTGATTTAGTCACCTATGAATGCATGAGGTCCATTAGGATTGAGTTCCCTTTTGATTGGGGATTACTAAGTGTGGGCTCCAATAATAATTATTAAGTCAAGTTAGGTTTGGACCTAGCAAGATTAGAATCTATTATGACTGGAACCCAGTTCACTAGACACTGAATGCACTACTGTAAGACCATTAAGGGGATTCCCACCTCTATTTTTTTTTTCAGCCAAATTTACACAAAGGTTATTGGCCTGTTACCTTTTCTTACATTCCACAAATTCCCCAAATTCCAGTTTTATATGAAGACATCAACACCTCTACAAAGTATTTATCAATAGTAAGAAGCCTCTCATGTCATCCCCTCCAGTTACATACCTTGTATTATGCAAGATATACAGGGTGTTCAGCATAATTTCTACCAATGACAAAATTATATATTTCATAATCTAACACAGTTAGTCCGTGGGTTTCTTTCAGAGTTATTATTTTACAATAATGTTTTATTAACCCGGCACCAAATGAACCTAAATAATATGGGAATTATGGTGAACCTGCATACGTTACAAAAGGGGTTGGGCAATTTCCATTGAGTCCATCCTGCCACTAACCCTGCCTACCTCACACACACACAATTCCATTTCAACTTAATTTTTTTTGTTTTATATTATTGTATACCCTGTATCGCATTGTATGATTTCATTACTCTATTAATGTATTGCAACAGTGTATGAGCCATAGTCAAATAAAACATACTGCAAGTACAATATACGGTTGCTTTTATGGCCGACTCAAGTATCTCACACATACATTACTACAGCTGCTAATATTATTCATGGGGTCCGTAGAACCAAACCCCAGTGAATAGCAAGGCTCAACTGTATATAATTTTGTTATTAGTAGAAATTCTGCCGGACTCCCTGTACAATTCATAAACTCAATAAGACTTATACTAGAGCTTGAATTTTTCTTGAGGGAGGAAGTTCTTTTTTTATATAAATTAATTATTCAAAGTTATTAAGTTTATAATCAGAATTACTAAATGTGGACTGAAAATAAAATTTACAAGTTTCAAATTTCTTTCTGATGAAATTTCAAATACAATCCAACACTTATGTGGTGAAGTAAGAATAAGTGTGTATAGGAAGGATATGTGAAACTCAAAGATTACAGTACCTGTCAACCTTATTTAGTGCAACTACAAATGGAGTTTTCCTCTTTTTCAAAAGGTCGATTGATTCAACAGTTTGAGGCTCGAGACCCTGGGTGATGTCTACAACAAGAATGGCAATATCACACAGTGATGACCCTCTTGAACGCAAGTTGCTGAACGACTCGTGACCAGGAGTGTCGATGATGAGCAATCCCGGAAAATTTAAATTACTCATATCAAACTGAAAAATAAAATTAAAAATAAAGAAAAAAGAAGTGAGAATACAATCAATTAAAATATTTAATTTCCTAAAACAGGTACAAAACATTCTCTAATTAATGGCTATGATATTCATTGCATAGTAAATTTCCTATAATATATCATGTTTTACACACTTATCAAATCACAAATCTCTAAGAACAAAATAAAGGTTGCACTTTAAAAATTAAAAATGCCTGGGATCAGAGCCATTTCAGATAACTTAAATTTTTGGTCCGCTAATATTTAACCAAGCAGCAAATAAAATATTGTATAATTATCATAAACTAATATATAATAAAGTACAAGTATTTACTACTGAAATGAATAGAAGTAACAGTATTTGAAGACATAACTGGGCTTTAGTGAGGGCAATATTATACAGCATGCCTTTCAAATTTGCAGGGGTTAGGTTCTAAAAATGGCTGCGAATCGCACAATCCGCCAATAACATTTGCTGACCAGGAGAGGGGGTACATTTTTACTTGTGTACAAAGAAATAGATATTCCCTTTATGTGTTTGCCCCCTAGGACAATTATTTATTTTACCTGTATTGTATATACTTGTTCTGATTATTTGTGAGAGGATTTTCCCATTATTATTTATTTGCTGTATGACACACACCCCCAGGTAAAGGAAATAACTGTCTCTAGAACGAACGGCTACATGTACAGGCCGCAAAAATGCCCGCAACTTTAAAACTACCCGCAGACATTCTTGGGTACATCCAGGGTGTCATCCACGAATAATAGAGGACCGCGAAATAAAATTCTGCAAATTATTCGGGTGTACTGTACAGTACCATAATTGCACACTCATTGAAGACAGCTTTGCTTTATTACACCTGCTATCAGCTGAGTGTACTACACTATCATAACTCGGTGGCTCACAACAACAAACTTTATTTAATATCCTGAATATAAACCCACATCATAATGCAACTACAGTACAATCCCAGTTATCCGGCACCTGCGAGGATTGAGAGATGCCGGATAAAGAGTTTTCCGGTTAGTTGAAACTCAATCTTAGGATTCCCTAATAAATCCTACAATGCACAATGCTACGGGCTAACCTTGTAAATTCGTGTCAGAAAACTAACTTCTTTAACGCTTATTTCACTCTATATAAACAATGTGGCTTAAAATAAAGAAAATATAAATATTAAATATTAAACAATAAAATAAGAAAAATTAAGAGCATGGGTGGGAAGTAAACATGTGTAGAGGCAGTGGTCTATAACTACGTTGCCAACTTGCCACTCAGAATGCCGTGTTTATTGTTACTTGTAGTGAAGAAAAACCATTACAATACTCAAAATTGGCTTAAAAATAAAGAAAATACATTACAGGGGTGTGTATTGCCTGAGAAGTAAACATGTGTGGAGGCGGTTATATCCACGGCCTTAGCTATAACTATGTGGCAATTTGCCAGCCTCATAAATTGTTACTTGTATTGAAATTAGAAGAAAAATGTAGGGCATGGGTGTGGAGGCTGTGGGCTATAGCTGTGTGGCCGTGCTCCCTTCCAATGTGAAGTCATGGCATACACAACAGTTAGCTGGTTGACTGCTTGGCTGAAGTAGGTCACGTCACCCAGAGGATGATTTGAGTGTGGAAGGGGCTATTTTTTGCACATAAAATAATATTATGTTGTGAGCAGTACTGGTAATCAAATTTACGATACTAGCTAATTTTGGAGGAGTTTTTATTTTTATTATTTAATTTTAGTGCTGATTAGTTGAATCTACCGGTTGCCCAGATACTGGATAACTGGGATTTTACTATATCACCAATTCCCCATAACATGCGTCGCCAATCAGCTGTGAGACAGCTACGCATATTGCCATTGTTACATGTTATGAAAGTATAAAATTTGTTGAAGCATAATTTCAATACTCTAATGTGAATTAGATATATAGAAAATATAATACAAAGCTATAAAAAAAAAAAAGTATTTCAGATGTCTAAAGGTTCGGTTAACTAATATTCAGATTTTTTTCAGTACAGCCTGTACAGTATATCCTCTCTCTCCTTCCATTCAGCGACTGAATTTTTTTAATTTTCTTAACAACCATCTATTTCTAAAGTCAGAAAACATCTAAGTGACTTTATTCTTTAATATCACAAATCTGCAGCCCCAGGTTTTGAGCATCTCACATGGAAGGCAGCCGACTCAACACTAACAGCCTGAAATGTATATCAATCTATATCACGTAAGTCCATTGGACAGACTTAAACAAACAGTAAAAATTAATTTTAGTACTTACACCTTTAACCATATGTGTCTGTCTCTGAACACCATGTGCAGGGACATTCGTTGCTCCAATCTGTTGGGTGATGCCGCCAACCTCACCTTCTTGAACGTTAGTTCTACGCAACTTATCCAGGATCTTTGTCTTCCCATGATCAACATGGCCAAGGACACACACCTGAAATATTACAATACAGTAAATTTAATGTCCTTGAATTACTTTTTTTATCAACAAAGTATCACTATTTTATCAATTAAATAGAGGAACTTAATTACAACTCCAAAGTGAGTCAAATTTTGCACTGAAGGCATAGTTCAAACACAACAGAATATAACTCTCAACTCTCTCTATAGCTACTCAGGTCTTTTTGTAGACCCTTCCCCCACAGTAAACTCCCGTCATGAAACCAGTGCAAGGATTGATGATCAATCCATAATTGATAAAAAAATCAATAAAAAAAGAATGGAAACAGTGTTTATTGGTACAGATGAGGGTCTGGGGGGGCCAATAGCTCCTTCTCACAGTGGTCAGTCAATTCAACCTCTGATCAACACAAGACTTGTGAACCCAACCCTTGCCAAAGCAACTTCTGGTCATCTCAATCCTTGTCAAATTAGCCCTCTATCAACTCAACCCCTGTCAACTCAACCCATCAATTCAGCCCCCTGTCAACTCAACCTAACAAATTCAATTAGCATGATTTTATGTTTGAATGTAAATAAATCATGGATATCACCAGTTCCAGTCCTGCGGCATGTGAATTCAGTGCGCTGGATGGACCTCTCTTTATAGCGTTTGTTGTTTTTCATATACTATTGCATATATGCAATTATTTCTAAGATATCAAAGTCTGTCTGCTTCATTTTCATAGTTTGCAATTCTGCAGCAGAGGAATTTTACAATTCTTTAAGGTCAATGTTTCTTTGTGCTCATCCTATTGTTCGCACTCTATTCAATGGTCTGAAGTATGTACAAAATGCTAGAGTTCAGAACTTAAGGAGAATAGAACAAAAACATGTACTGTATTTAAATTGGCCACTCACCTTGCAGCAAAAGTTGCAAACTATGAAAATGAACCAGAAAAACTTTGATATCTTTGAGCAATTACTCATATGCAATAATATGATAAATGAAAAAAGTGACAACTTAGCGGGAAATTCCTGACAGCACAGCGAGGTTTAACAACATAATGTGAAAAGTCCCACTAACACTATGTGACTCCCTCCACACCCTTATCTGCTGTGAAGAGAGACATAGGATCCAAGGGGCACTCAGTAAACTGGCCCTCTAGCTCCCTCTGATCATTATCATGTCTCTAGTTATCAGTCTGAGATAGAGCTGTTGCACAGCTGTTTGACCCCACAGCTACATCGGGGCTACAAGACAAGCCCTTTTCCAACCATTGTGAAAACTATCAGGCCCAGATAATTAGAACGTTCTCCCCATGTTTCCTCCTCTTTTTGTAATGAAACCTTTTGTTATATGACCGACTCCCTATATCACAATATGTAATTTATGCCATTTCTGTTCATCATATTTTTTCAGCCTTTGGCACCTATTTCCTCTTAATACACCATAAAGCATGCTGCATGCACACACACACACACATCTATACTTAGGTAAAATTTGACATACCTCCCATTAGGGATGTTTTATAAATAAATGCTAATTTACAAACCACTGGTGCTCTAAGATTGTCTTCTTGTAAATTCTTCTCATTTGCCTCTTTCCTCTTGGCTATCCTTAACAAAGCTCTTTGTTTTCTCTTCTCTGCTTCTGTCTGATGTTCCTCTTCAGAATCATCACTTTCAGATTCCTGAAAAATATTTTTTTTTTTATTAAAATTATGTACACTATATCCTAAACACAATTAAATATGCGAGTTAAAATCGAGTCTGCTATCTGCTGAATCCATGGAACACTGGCTAGATCAGAGGCAACAGTCTTTGACATTCTGTACAGGGAGTCCTCATTATTCATCCATCCACTTATACGTATCGCAGTTCTTACCATCAAATTTTTTTTATTCGTATGCCACACTTGGTTATACGTACAATGGACCTGGCATTATGAGAATTCTGGTTACAGAAATTCACCTTTATGGACATTGTAAATTATTACCACTAGCACCAGGAAACAGAATGTAAATTAGCCCTTACAAAACTTTTCGTAAAAAAAAAAAAAAATTAATCACTAAATGTAAGGTAAAAAAAAGACCAAAGTTCTATATGCCCGTATTTCATATTTGCGCCTTGTGAATTTGTTCATGCTGATATTCTTGAATTTTTTTACTTCATTCCTTTTACATTTACCATATAAAAATGCTCAAAAACCAAACCGTGATTTAAATCAAACAACCCAGAAACTATCCCCACTTTTAGGTTATTCCCAAACATCAAAACTTGCAAAACAGATGGTAAACAAACTCTTGCCATTAAATACATCTCCTGTAACTGCACAATTTAACTTTATAAAACCCTAATGTGCACAAGGAAGCCTAGCAGGCCTAACACTAAGAGTTGTGAAGTAGTCCTGCACCCTACTTTATATGTTACCTGCTTGCACTGTGATAATCATGGCTCATTACCTCCCAGCCTTCAAGCACTTATCGCTTATTCACATCCCTGTTAGGCAGTAGTTGTTGTGATGGAGAAGACTAATCTTTGGTTAGGCCTAGTCATACTAGGTTATGGCTTCCTTGGGTCCCTAAGCCTCCAGCCTTCAGCAGGCATATTCAAGTCATTCTACCAGCACAGGTTCAAAATGTTGTGCTGAGTGAGGGGTTGGCACTGCTAGAACCATCTACCTGAAACATAATCTTTACAATGATTAAATTAAATTTATTATCATAAGATCTTTGAAAAATTACCTCATCACTTTCATCATCATCCTCGTCATCATCCTCTTCATCATCTTTTACATTTTTCTTTGTATCTGTGTCTACTGAAGCTTTAGTGGCTTCTGAAGTATCTGTAAAGATAAGTGTTTAGTGTTTAAAGTTTCTTCTATTGTTAATATTATATAAAAGCCCAGTGAAAAGTATACCTGTACAAGCAACATAATGCATAAATGATAAAGAAAAAAAAATATTGAAAACAAGTTTACCTCATTTTCAAGGCTCAAAGAAGCCATCTTCTAAAATGATCTGTGGCAAAAAATATTTGGAAAACTGTTTAATGACTGAATGGAGAGTACAGTATGACAAAGTACCTGAATGATTATCTTGTGATCCTGGTGAGACAATACGGCAAAGGGAGACAAGGGAACAATAGATGTGTATGGTTCAAGTAAGTCTTTTAAGAAAATTATGCCAACAGAATGATGATGCTGAAGTTCAGAACTTTACCAATAAGGTGATTCCATTGACAATCTCACAAACTCAAAATAGTGATCATCTCTAATTATGCTTAAATTAGGAAATATAAAAGTATGTTGGAGAAATACTTGTACTGTACCTTGAATAGGAGGTCACTCTGACCTCTGGTTTCCAATGGAGAACTAATTGAAGTTTAACCTCAATTTGGTGATCTTTCAAATTAAAAACCAATAACTTGTCATAGAAAGCATTTTCGTGACTCATTTATACTTTTGAAGTGACTGACATTTTCTCTTTTATAAATCTTCTGTATATAGAAAAAAAATTCTTTATATAAAATATTTAGTTACTGGTCCAGAGTGTATATTAATAAAGATAACGGGATAGAATTATGACCATTTTTTGGGGGCATCCTAAAATTGGTACAAAAGATTTCCATACGAATAACTTAAAGGAAGTATATAATTAATGATGGAGTGCAGAAGAACAAGGGGTAACTGGCCCATCTGTCGCCATAATTATAACTTTTTAGCCTCAGACCCTTCAGGAGAATGTTTAGGATTACCTACATTATGACTTTAAATTCAGAACATTTGGATAATTTTATTATACAGGTTGACAATCCCTTATCCGAAATCCTTGGGGCCAGAGGAATTTCGGATTTAGGAATTTTTCGGTTTTCAGAATTTTTTTTTTTTTTTGTATTACCTCACCCGGGCATAGATCACTGACCCACATCAGGGCCTGGGGGGCGAAAATATAATAAAAATTATAATAATAATAATAATAATAATAATTCATAGGTCTAGGTCGTGTTTCTCACTTTTGATCTTTTTTTCATTCTTGTATTTCTTTGTTATTACCGGGTATTATTATTATTATTATTATTATTATTATTATTAATGTTATCATATTATTTTATTTTGGTGTACCGGTATTATTATTAAAATTTTTATTTACTATGAATAATTATTATTATTATAATTATAATTACTATTACATTTTCGCCCCCCCAGGCCCCGATGTGGGTCAGTGATCTATGCCCGGGTGGGCTAATCCCTGTTAAAAAAAAAAAAAAAAAAAAAAAAAAACCTTTCGGTTTTCAGAGCTTTTCGGTTTTCGGATAAAGGGTTGTCAACCTGTAGTTGCCAGAAAAAGCAATAAAAAAACAACAACAAATATCCTCCTCTTAAAATCTTACCTTCGTCATCTTCCTCTTCTTCGCTCTCATCCCAGGCATCCTTTACATCCTCTTCCTCCTCCATCTTATCCCAGGAGTCCACTACATCACCTTCCTTTGTGGCTTCTTCTACAGCTATTTTCTCAGGCTCTGGTTGTTGCTGTTGTTCTCCTGGCTCTGAGGAAATTTTGATTTACACACAATATGTCTGTCTTTCAGTATCTTCCTTTCCTTACCCTATCATTACCTTCACATCTAATATTAACACACTACTGGGATCATCAGCCCTAACCCATTTCTACTTAGATGATCTACTTAGTTCTCCCACGTTCCTCATCAATACACAGTTGAAATACCATACACGAACTTCCTCCTTTTCATCAATATTCTTTGCTTCTCGTGGTAAGAGGAATTATTTCCCTACATACCTTTCCTTTCTTGTATAACCTGAAGCTCTTCCTGGGTAGCTATACAGGCATCCTTAAATTAATAATATTTCTTGGCTGCAATAAGAACTAGATTGTTTTATTGGAATTGTGTCTGTTGAAAATGTGGGAAGACCCAAATAACTAAGGCCACAAATAAGCAAACACCACTTTTGAAATGGAATTTTGTTTTTTCATACTATAGCTATCCATATCATGCAAAGATTATCCTTATCAGCCAAAGATGAGCAAAAGATGCATATACAGTACAGTACTGTAGTCATACAGGCAAATTCAGAAGAGCATTAAGGAGAGAGAGAGAGGAAAAAAAAGGGGGGGAAATTAAGAGAGACAAAGTTCTGAGACTCGGCAAAGTCCACGAGACCAGAAGTATGGGCAAGAATAATAATAAATAATAAGAAATATTAATCTTCATACTCATCTGAGACCTTGTTGGGTTATATCCATACAACATTTTCACAAAAATTCCCCCCTCACCATGCATACATACATCATATTTACTGTTTTAGAGCCATTTTCTTTGCTTGTATGGACTAACCAACTGTACCTGACATGGTAGCCCAGTTGCCATCAAGCAAATTTGAAGAAAGTTTTATGGCTGGATGCCCATCTTATTGCCAAGCCACTGTTACAGACTGAAAACTGGACATATGTAGGTCTTCCAAGCACACTCCTGACAAGTTAGGGTCACTACTCCCTGAGGTAATCAAAGATTACCTGCGTCCCTGCAGATACATATACAGTGGTCCCTCGGTTAACGAACTCAATCCGTTCCAGCAAGTTGTTCGTTAACCGAAAAGTTCGTTAACCGAAACCATTGTTTCAATGGGTTTTTGGGTAATTGGTTCCAGCTCACCAAAAATTGCCTAAATTCAACAAAAATGGTAGAAAAGTTCACTTACTTTGAGGTGTGTATGTAGAAGGCTCCTGGATGATGATGATGATGATGATGATGGGAATTAGAATGGGGGTGGAGGAGAAGGAAGAAGAGAAGGCATTGGGGTGGAAGAGAAGTCACCCCATGGCACCATTTCACCTCTAAAATTTTAGTTCTCTTGGTGTATTTCAAGATTATTTTCTTTAAATCAACACTGCACTGCAGTATATATTGTCAATATGTAAAATATATTTCAAAATGACCAATAATTTGCTTGGAAACACAGAAAAAAAGCATTTAGTTCAAGAGAGTCTCAAGCAAGATGTTACCTCCAGTGAAAACAGAGAGAGACTAACGCCTGTTTGCTGTGTTAAGAGGCTGGATGCCGCGCATTAAACTTGTCACTTTACCTTCAATTATGTTCAATAATTGTTAAAATGACTAAAAAATTGAATATTAAACTTTTAAAATTATTGAATAGTATAAACTTCTTGATATTTACTAAAATAGTAAGGAATTTAAGCCCTAGAACCGATTAATGTATTGGCGGACTGATACTAAAGCTGGTTGCCCGGCCAGTGCAAGCGAAAACATGTTGAGGTCGGTTCGTAAGAAATTCGTTAACCGAATTGAAGATTATGAAAGGCAGTTCGTTAACCGAAATTTCGTTAACCGAGGCGTTCGTTAACCGAGGGATCACTGTATACTGTATATGGATGTTAGCTATTTCTGTATACTCTCCTATAGCGCGGTGGAAAAGAATCCTATGGACAAGTTGAACTTCTTCATGACATAACATTAACAGATACAGAACCCATCACAGGAGTACTGTGAGTGGATACTGTGGATCATTTATCAAAGACCCCAGAGCTAAATTAAAAAACCTAAGAGCTGATGCTAACATAAATGGTGTTGAATATTGCACTTCAGTTTCTGAGAGAATTTATTTTCTTGCTCAACTGTTTAAGCTTACCCTGTTGTTCTTGTTTTTCATCCTTCTTTGCTTTCTTGGGTCGTACTCTGGTACCTGCGCGTGGTCTCTTTTCCCCAACCTCCGGCAGGCTAGCTCCCTGGGCCTGCAAGAATCAATACATAATCTTCAAAACTAGTTTTCTTTTAAATATCAGTGCAAAATTAAAGTGAACAATCTTACTCAACTACGGGACAATTTTAATATGGTAAACTCTTGTGCTGCCAGAAATGTCCTATACAGGTATACCTCGCTATTTGAATGGGTAAGGTTTCTGAAAAATCATCCATTAAGTGAATTTTTGTATAGCGAATAAAAGAACACATGGGGAAAATAGGCTTCGGTTCCCCAAATGACAAGAAAACCCCCAAAATCATACCCTAAAAACATGAAATAAGTTCATGAACAACAAAAAAACAACCTAGCTAATGTGGGGGTTAGGTTCTCAAAATGGCTTCTAATCGCCAAATCTGTGAATACCATTTGCTGACGGGGGGGATTTTTTTATTTGTGTACAAAGAAATGTATATTCCCTTTATGTGTTTCCTCTTTGGACAATTATTTCTTTAACATGTATTGTAAATATATATATGTGTGTGTGTGTGTGTGTGTGTGTGTGTGTGTGTGTGTGTGTGTGTTTGTGTAATAATAATAATAATAATTAACGGTTTATTGAAAGAGCATAGCAGCCAGAAGGCTGAAAATATACAGTTACATAATTGGGGAATGGGTTTCGATTTACAAATAATATACAAGTAACATAAGTGATACAGATAAGATATATAATAACTAGATGGGGAAAAGCTCAAACTACAGGGCATTTCAACATAGTGACAGTACAAAAAGTAAGATTGACTGGGAGTGAATACACTGGTTGATTACAAGTTATTGATAATATTTACAATGGTTGGGACTGGGCTGTTCTTATAGCGATCAGTTCGTGCTCGTATGGGCTGAATGCGGTTGTGGTGTCGAACAACAATTCTCGGGCGAGGGATCTCAGGTGGTAGTAGGAGCCGGTGTCGAGGATGGATTTTATTCAGATGACGAAGTCATCAGGTCTAACTCTGGCTGAAGCTGACGCTTTCCATAAAGCTGTTACTGAAACTGTTACTGAACCTGAAGTTGATGTTGAAGCTGCTTATGATGCTGAATTTGATGGTGTAGCTGAAGTTCATGGTTTAGGCCTTCGAATAATAAAGCTGTCGAAAGAACCTTGCACAGCTGCTTTCTTTTCTCATTATACATCTTTATGTAGAGGTCATTTGCATTTATTTAAATTGCTTGCTCCATATAATATCCACAGACCTCTCACCTTTTTCATAACATTTTAACACATCTAGTTTCTCGACTAAGCTTAAACACTTTCTATTAGCTTTTGAAACAACACTATCATTACTTGCTCTCTTGCTAATGTTGAATCGGGATGCAAAAAAGCTGTAAGAAACCTGAGACAGTTTTTATCCTCCTGTTCCAGACGAGTGAAAACAAAAGGCTAGCCAAGCTCCGACTGTTGTTTACCACTCATTAGCCAGGCACCTTTGCGAAAGGCGCTCTTAATTTTTTTACAGTAATATATTTTTTATAATACATATCGGGATTTAGTAATTATTTATATGAAAATGTAATTTTATTTTATTTTGGTCATAAATACGAATGAAATAAGGACGTAAATTTAATTGGATCCTAAATTTACTAGGGTCTTAAATATGAAAAGTTGTTGGTCGAACCGTTGTTATCGGAGGCTTTACTGTAAATGTGTGTGTGTCTACACACACACACACACAATTACAATACAGGTAAAGGAAATTACTGTCTCTAGAACGAATGGCTCCCTGTCCCAGGTGCGAAAATGGTGGCAACTTTAAAACTTCCCACAGACATTCTTGGGTACATCCAGAGTGTCATCCGCGAATAATAGAGGACCGCAAAATAAAAATCCGCTAATTTGGGGGGGGGGGGGGCCCTGTACACAACTGCTGTACTGTAATTTACTACCTAACATGTTAAAAACAGAAAAAAAGTACCATCTAGAAGAAAATCCATTAAGAAATAGTTAAATCAGTTTGACACATCCGCCATTTGCATAGACGCTGGCTGTGTCACAAGTTGTCGCCCTCAAGCCTTACCATAACAACCCAGCCCAGCTAGGGATGCTTCCCTCTCGCTCTCACACACAAAGAAATGTTTATTTCCTTTACGTTTTTGACCTTATGATAGTTATTTCTTTTACTTTTTTTTAACATTATGTATGTAGTATTGTGTGTGCATGTAACTGAATGAAATATGAAGAAAGTTCAATTTATCTACCTGAAATTTCAAGTTGAAAAATATCCATAACTCCTATCTCAGCCTGGTAGGGAGGGGGCTAGGGGGGATGTGGCAGCCCCAGCTGACTCCTGGGGGCGAGCAATTTTAATTTTTGCCAAAACCCAAATTCATATAAGCGGGGAAAGCTATCATAACAAGAAAAAGAGGCAGTAATTTAGGAAATTCGTATAAGTGAATTTCTGAATAGCAAGGGATACCTGTACAAGTGGTTAAATCTGATGTAAAATTTATGCAAAATATGAAAAACAAAGCAAAAGTCTGATGTGGAGAAAAATCCTCATAACTATCATAGCTATGTGATACTCAAAAAACAGTGTAGTTCCACCAACAATGAAACTACTGAAAAATTTGTTTTCTTACCTTTAAATACTCCAACATTTCCTGTGCTCTGCGTAAATCCTGCTTTTGCTTTGCCGTCAACAATTTCCCCTCAGCCTTGAGACGTTCTTTTCGTTCCTTTTCCTTCTGCTTCTTTCTCTCTTTTCTCTCTTGCTCAAGTCTCTTTTCCTCTTCTATCTTACGGATCTGAAAGTACCCAAAAATTTATAAGTGTTGTTTAACACAATACCAAAATTAATTTTGATCTGGAATCATATCAAAATTACTTTCCTCACAAATAACCCAAATTTCTTCCAAGCCTCATAACAACAAACAGTTAACATTTGTGTCATAACTAAATCTAAGACCGGTGTAACAGTAACACAGTTATAGAGTAAATCATTTCTGCACAATATAGGATAACCAGCGAATTATGATAACAGTACAGTAGTTTACATGTTGTGCATACCGGTAATAATACTACAGTTCAATTATAAAATTAGAAGGGTATAGGGCTCCTGAAATATACCATTAAAAATGCTAGATGCAAGACTAACACTTTAACAACAAAACCAGGAGCATAACATCACCTCTTCTACACTTCATGCTCACAGGCTTAAAGGTGATAACTAAACATTTAGTAACCTTACCCTCTCTTCTTCCAGTCTTATTTTTTCTTCCTCCTCAGCCTTCAGTTTTTCTTCCTGCTCTTTCTGTTTGGCCAGTACTTCCTTCATTGCTGCCAGCATCTTTTTATTTGGTTTGCCCTTCTTAGCCTTTGGATCATCTTCCTCATCCTTTTCTCCTTTCTTCTTCTTCTTTTTCTTCTTAGTATTCTCACCTGAATGTAAATTACATTTCATAAGTTTATGCACATAAGCAACCAATATAATCATGGTACAGTATTGTAATGCTAATATTTCTTCATTTGTTGTTATTCAGCAAAGACACAAATTTAGTTCATCACATCATTTACTCCCATTCATTATAGCAAAGACAGTTTAACCAAACCACAACTAGTTTGTTTGCCACAGCAACATTATATCCAAATAAAAGTTGCCCTTGTATAAGTCATCTTTACAAGAAACTGATTCGCACATATAGCTATCACTCATTTAACAATTAAGCCCCGGGTTAGGGTGCTGCTGGCAGTACCCCCCACGCATGGTTAAATCGAGAAAAAAATCAACATTTCCAAACATAATTAAGAAAAAAAAAGGCAGGAAAATAGGCGGCGTTCTGGAACGTCACCCAGGGCGCGCTAGTCGGACGTTCTGGAACGCCACCCGGGGCCTAAGGGTTAACAATGGGGATGCGTTCCTGAAAACACCTGACGTTAAGCAAAATTATCACTAAACAAGGGATATCAAAGAATAATATCAGTGGAGATAGCATGTAAATGTGTAGCCAACTCATCACTCGGTAGCAATCGGAGCAGGTGAAACTGAGGTGTTCAACTCGTAATCTTCATTTTTTTTTTACTGTTAAAAGCACACACAATTGTTCAGAGAATGTGCTCACCCACCCACCACCACAAAAAAAAAAAAAAAAAAACTATGCCAGCTGTGACCTATACAGTATTATAGTTATTGTGCAACACATAATTTTGGGTGTGTGTTTTCTCACACAGGGTGGTGAAATGTGTCTAATGTGGTAGCATTATGTGAGTGTTATGGTGCAAACACTGCTTGCTCCTTTTTCTTTCAGCTACCGCCGCTGGCTAGCCCTCGTAGCGAACAGGGAAGCAACTTGCCTAAGTCTTCCCCTGCCAGTACACAGTCTCCTCACCATCAAGACTCCTGCTGTGCCTCCTCGTGGCAACACACGGTAACTGGGTGCTTCGTGGGCCCAGGCTTGACCAGCAGGGGATCTCGGAGTAGCAGTGGGACCCAGAGGGATGGCATATAGGCCCACTGGCATGTGGACACGTCCTGGCTTCTACCAACGATTACACCGGCAGACGAAGGCAATACCTAATGGACAGGCTGCAAAGGTGAAACCCAACAAAATGGGCTATCGGCAGTCCACTGCAACTCTCCCTCTCCCCAGTCGTTCCAACACTTGCACCACTGGATCAGGAAAAAGGAGAGCCAAGATGTGTGATTGCAGCCTGCATTCCTGCCTCACCACATAAATCAATTCACGCGCAGCCATCATCCAGCTCATCATACCTCATCATCATCAAAACCCCTATACCCCTAAAAGTCCTATGGCGACGGACGAGTGGCGACAGGGACAGGCAGTGATGACTGCCAGGAGTCTCTAGTCACAACTCTGCACATGTGCAGCACAGATAAGATAAAATGGTCATTTATGCACTGGGATCTAGGCAGCAGTGCAACTAAGCAGCCCTTTCGAGAAATCACTACTCACCCCACATGGGGAGGGGGCTAGAAAGGGTAACCTAAACATAGTCTGCCTAAAAAAACAACCTGACTGGACAACCGCACCCAGTAAGGTCATCCTTATGCGGTCGAAAACACAATAAAAATCACAGATCCAAACAAAAGCAAACTATACAACCTCTTATGGTCACTGCATTGAATGTCAGGACCCTTCTGAATAATGGCAAAAATGAGCATCCTCAAAGAAGAAATGCCCTTGTGGCAAAAGAGCTGGCTAAGTATAACATCGACATAGCAGCCATTAGTGAGTCCCGGCTCCCAGATGAGGGTCAACTCACAGAACGGGGGTCTGGCTATACCTTCTTCTGGAAAAGTAAGCCTGCTGCGGAGAGAAACCGCATTTATGGAGTTGGCTTTGCCATCCGTCAACGCATCCTACATAGGCTAAATGAAATGTCTATCGGGATCAACGAGCACCTGATGAAGCTCCGAGTCACACTGGATGCAGAGGATAACATCAAGGAGGCCCTTTACACTGACCTCGACAGAGCGCTAACCTCTATCCCCAGAGAAGACAAGGTTGTGCCCCTTGGTGACTTCAATGCCAGAATTGGCAGAGATGCTTACATTTGGCAGGGAACCATAGGGAGAATGGGACTAGGCAAGTGTAATCCCAATGGCCTACACCTCCTCAACAAGTGTGCTGCACACAACCTATCACCAATACCTTGTTTAGGCAGGCCAACAAGTTCAAGGGTTTTTGGCAACACCCACGATCAAAACACTGGCATCTCATTGACTCCATCATTGTCAGAGAAAGAGATATCTGAGATGTCCTCATCACCCGTGCCACTGCGACACTCATCATCGGCTCGTCAGATCCAAACTCTCACTTCACATTGCCCCAAAACAGCGAAGGCAGCAAGCCTCCAGAAGAGGTTTTAACACAAAACGTCTGGAGGATCCAGCGGTAGCACATGCTTTCAGAGCCCAGCTCGAACATGGGCTGATAAACAACCCGACAACGAACAACCTAAATCCCAGTGCCGAATGGGATATTCTCGACAGTCATGACAAAAACCTGCAGAGAGACCCTCAGCCAGATCGAAAGAATACACCGGGACTGGTTTGATGAGAATGACCAGGCAATTAATATACTCATCGATGATAAACGTGCTGCTTTAACTGGCTGGCAGAACAACCCTCAGTCTCAGACCAAAGCTGATAACTTCCGCAAGAAGAAAGTGGTGGCCCAGAGGGAACATCGCAATCTAAAGAATGACTGGTTTAAGATAAAAGTATGTGAAACACAAAAATTTGCAGATCAGCACAAGATGCGCGAATTTTTCAATTCCACTAAAATATTTTATGGGCCAATCACTCGTGGCGCAGACCCTGCTCCGCTCATCTGATGGTAACTCCATAATTAAAGATGATGAAGGCCTCTTTCAGTGCTGGAAAGAGCACTACCAGTCACTGCTCAACCGAAACACCTATGTGGATGTCCTGACTATCCAGCAGGTCCCTCAGCATCCAGAGCTGACCCACCTCAGCTATCCTCCATCCTTCGATGAGGTAGCTGCTGCCATCAAACAGATGAAAAATAACAAAGCCTCAGGGCCTGATGGAATCCCAGCCGAGGTGTATAAAGCAGGAGGACACCTGCTTACCAGCCGTCTCCACTCTCTCCTGGAAAATATATGGGAAAAGAAGGAAATCCTCCACGCTCTTAAAGACGCCTCCATCGTCAATATTTATAAGAACAAGGGAGACCCAGTCAGAGTGAGACAACTACCACGGGATCTCGCTGCTATCCGTAGCTGGCAAAATTATCGCCCGAGTCCTCCTAAACAGACTTTTTCCTGAGGTGGAAAATTTCCTCCCAGAATCTCAATGTGGCTTAAGACCATCACGTGGCACCACTGACATGATCTTTGCTGCCCGCCAGATACAGGAAAAGTGCAGAGAACAGCGTTGTGACCTGTACATGCCTTTCATCGACCTAACCAAGGCCTTCAACTCGGTCAACAGGGAAGCCCTCTGGTAGACCCTCAGCTGCTTTGGCTGTCCACCAAAATTCATCGCCATTGTGAGGCAACTCCACGATGGCATGAACAGTAGTGTTCTGCACAATGGCACCCAGTCTGAGTTCTTCCCCATCCAAACGGGGGTTAAACAAGGGGGGTGTACTGGCACCAACTCTCTTCCATTTTCTTGGCCGCCTTCCTTACTCGTGCCAGTGCCAATTTAGCCGGCAGGGTGGACATTGAAAACCGGATGAAGGGTCTTTTCAACATAAGACGACTCCAAGCAAAAACAATGGTGTCGACAGCTTCCATTACTGAACTTCAGTATGCAGACGACCTCACCCTTGTTGCTCACACTGAACACAATCTACAGGAGATCCTGAACACCAACGCAGATGCGTGAATGTACGTAAGACTCGGATTCTCTTTCAACCTGCCCCTGGTTCAGACACACCTCCACCATCCATCCAGGCTGTCACCAAGCTGACTCAGGTGTGCGTGGCTGCTGTCTGTATGCCGTGACGTACACATAGGGGGAGGGAATTGTAATGGTTTTAATAAGAATTACATTAATTGTAGGGGGAATGATTACAGTATATAGGAAACATTCCAACTTGACTGTAGAGGGGGATGTATTCCCTCCCAGGATCTAAACCCACGCCCGTATGTTGTTTACTCTTTATACCCATAATTTCTTTGATACCAGTCTAAGAACCATCTCAACATGAAAGGTATTCAATTCTTAGTACCTGTATGAACCCAGTAATACCACCATCCTCATAACTACATAACCAACCAGCCTTCTCCATAAAAATACAACTTAGAAACAACAACATACCACTACAGTTATCCTAAACAACAATTAAAGTACTGTAGTCTCAATGTAATTCTGATGCTATTTTTGGCTATTACATTTGTGCTTTACCTGAGGTTAACCAATTAATTGCATTCTTATATATTTAGCTATGAAAAATAATCATGGTGCAAATCTTTAAGACTCATGACCCCACACTGCTGTAGGCTATGAGTAGACGGATATATAAATATCTGCAAGACTTAGCATTAGTCAAAACTGAAAAAGTAATGCATCACCAGAAGATTAGTCCCCCAGCTTATTTCACCTGACAATTAATTACCCTAATGCTATTTGGATGGTTAGGTTACTTTAGGTTATTGTCGGGGTGATTAATCTTCATGTAAAACTAGCGCGGTGTGTGTGTGTTTTTTTTTAAGTGGTCCAAAGCAACTTACCCTCTGCATCAGCTTCTCCCTCCTCTCCAGGTGCTGTTGTATCAACTTTGGCTTCTGATGATTCGGTCTACCAAGTTGACAAGAGAAAAACAATTAAGTTAAGAAATCAATGACCTACAAGTTATTCATCAAGGGCTTAATGTGAAGAAAAAAAATTAAACTATATAACCAGAAAATAATATAACACATACCATTGCTGTTGTCTCTGGTGCATCTTTAGTTTTCTTCTTTTTCTTCTTAGACTTTCCTTCATCTTTCTTTTCTTCATCCCCCTGTTGAAACATTAAAATTTTTAACCATTCATAAATATTTCAACTTATCCTGACTCACTTTTTGGGTTCATTGGCCAATAAGTTTTAGAAAAATGACACTTAAGTACGAAGAACAGAAAATAAGGAACAATATTAATGATTCTAATAATATCCAGCCACCTGCCTATCAACATATCATACTACCAAACAACCACAAAAAAACTCACACCATCAACCAAAAATCCAACTTGCATCAGTCCAGTCTTGACAGAAAGAAAGAAAGAAAGAAAGAAGGGGGAAAAAAAATCCCCATAAACCTAATTTTTCTCAATTCAAAGGTGGAACAGCAACACACTTCAACACCTCAACCATAAAACACACCACCAACCCCCACAACCGTAATGGACTTGACAGAAACTTCTACCCCAGCTTCGCTCCATAAACCAACTAAAACAAAAAAATTAACCCAGAAAACATCAATTATATCAAAATTAAATAAACAGTGTGACAACGAAGATTACATGTCTGGTTAACATAAAAAAAGTAAGAGGGATATTTACCTTCTCTTGTGCATCTTCATCTTGAACCTCAACAACCTCAACTTCTACTGGGGCCTCCTCATTTTTATCTTTCTTTTTCTTTTTCTTCTTCTTTCCAGTTTCTTCTTCAGGTTCTTGGACTATTGTCTCTTCAACCTTCACTTCTTCTGTGTTTGGTTCTTCTTTTGGCTTCTCACCTCTATATTCAGATTCAAGTTCTGCTAAAATCTTGTCCAAATCCTCATCGTCATCACCTCCTTTCTTTTTCCCTTTCTTTTTCTTTTCATCTTTCTTCTTTTTTGTTTTATTTTCGTTCTTTGACGATTCTTTAACAACAGGTTCATCATCATCATCCTCATCATCCATTAAGTCATCATTATCATCCATGAGAGCAGCAAAACCTCCTCCCATCTTGGGCTTAACTATGATTTCTTCTGAATCTTCATCATCCTCACTTTTGACAGGTTTTTTAGATTTCTGAAATAAATATTTCTAATAAAAATCACAACTTAAATGAAAAGATATAAAAGCTCTTTAACCACTTGTGTACAGGGTCCCCTCTCAGCTGAATTAAATTGTCTGATGTTAGCCAAATAAAATATTAAAAGTGGCATCCCCATAGTAAAGGGGTTAAGCTTAAACATCCCAACTTATTTCACCTGAAGATTAGTTAAGCCCAGCTTATTTCACCTGAAGATTAGTTAACCCCAGCTTATTTCATCTAGAAATTAGATAGCCCCAGCTTATTTCACCAGAAGATTAAACAACCCCAGCTTATTTCATCTGAAGATTAGATAACCTCAGCATATTTCACCTGAAGGTAAGATAACCCCACTTTGTTTCACCTGAAGGCGATACAGATATGCTTTAAAGCTGTCACCATTTGTTCTAAATTCAGTGCACATGCACATATGCATGCACACATACAGTTTATGTATGGTGACAGCTGTGTGTGCCTGCATTAGAATCTGTTAAGTATGAAGGCATGCTTACAAATACAATATGACATGCTTAACGTAGCTACAGTTGGGACCAAACTTCCTTTAACACTTAGTACAATACCTTGCATCTACTTGCAGGTCATATATAAGACTGGTTTACAGCTGGTGGATGCTTTTTTCATTGCAATTTATGTCTGATTAACAACATAAAAGAAAGTTCCATAATACAATGAAAATCATAGGGATACAGAAGTTAACAATGCCAAAGTGTTTAGGGAACTTTGTCTACAACTGCACATACCATCAAAGTGGTGACGTATACTTAACAGCAAGAACACCTGAAGATTATGCATTTCAGCTTATTTCATTTAATGATCAAACACCCTTACACTGACATACCCAGGTAACATTAAGGTGTTAAATCATCAGGAGAATTGAGGCCCCCTGCATTGTAAGGGTTACTTGAGCCAAAATTTGAAACCGAGAAAACCGCGTTTAAAGTTTTTCCAACTTCTAACAAGCATAACATTTTTTGTTTTTCGAGATACAGCATTCATTTTTTATGTATTTTGAAGCTAAAAGACTGTACTTGCAGATAGTAGGTAGTGCATCATGAAGTAATGTAGTGGGTTGTTGCAATGTTGATTCGAAGCAACAAAACTCCCACCCACTTATGGCATTTTTTACTTTAATTGATATCAGAGTATAGATCCCGCCAGAACAAAAGAGAACTGAGGGAGAGAGAGGGAGGGATTCCGTGCTCATTGGCTGGAAGGGGCGTGACGTAGATAGCATACACACGCTGTCATTGGCCGAGACGGGGGAGGAGGCTGCGGGCCGGCCGCTGTGATTAGCCACCCACTCCTCTCACTCACTCACTGACGGGACAAGAGCACCCGTCTGCCACAAATCAATGTTACACCCTATTTTCATAGGGCTTTCAGCCTTATTTACAGTCTAGTAATGAGATCTAATCCACTACCATCGTATAGAGCTAGGCCAAAAATAGTGCTTTCCAACAAAAAATGGGTTTTGCCCTGGTGGTCTGAGTTACCCTTACAATGCGGGGGGCCTCAAATACTCTTGAGCTGTTTAATCTTCACGTGAAATAAAGGAACAATTATTTTTACTCAAAATAAGCAGCCCCCAATCTTAACCCTTAAGTGCTGGGTTAGGGTGTTGCTGGCAGTGCCCCCCCCTCCCCTCCCCCATGCAGGGATAAATCGAAAAAAAAAAAAATTTCCCCCAAAATAATTAAAAAATAAAAATAGGCGGACATTCTTGAACGTCACCCGGGGCACACTAGTCATATGTTCAGGAACGTCACCCAGGGCCTAGGGGTTAAACCTCCACTACAGTATACTATTTTCTGGGCAAGATTCTTGAGTAAATATTGCCCAATCTTGGTCTTCAAAGTATATAATATAATAAAATATTACAAGGATTTACACAGACCACAAATATATTTGTTTTCATCTCCTTGGTTATGAAGTCTAATACTAACTAACATTTTGTACTGTGTACCAGCTGGTCATAGGGTAACCAAAGGCTTACATCTCTACCTTCTCTTTTTTCTTCTTCTCCTCAACATGTGGCTCAGGAGTTTCCTCTTTCTTCCCTCCTGACTCCTCCAGGGTCATATCATCCAATTCTTTGGTAATGCCATCTTCCCATTCGTCATTTTTCTTCTTTCCTTTCTTCCCTTTCTTGGAAATTTCCTTTGGTGTAGAGTTCTCAATATCATCTGCTATATCCTCAACTTCTCCATTCCTGTTAAATAAAAAAGTATTAGCTACAGCAACAAACCCAAAGTACTGTACAGGTGTCCCTCATATAACAATGGGGTTGCGTTCCTGTAAAACTTAATGTTAAACGAGATTATTGCTAAACGGGGGATAACAGTAAAGCACGGAGGGTGAATAATACTGTAGGTTAAAACAGCAGGGTGGCAAACACTGAATACGGTACTGCACTCCATAATAATAATAAAAATTATAATAATAACAATAATAAATGAGTTTGCTATAAATAGTTAAAAAAATTAAATGATTGATTTATTAACACCAAAATTCTATATAAACCATGTGGTTCAGAATTAAACAATGTCATTGGCAAGAGCAACAACTGGTGCCTGGACAACTCAAGTAAGACCTTCATGATGTCGACATTACAGAGTAACCGTGAATACCTGGTGCTAGGTAATGATGAAGACACGACCACTGGTTATCAAAACTGCCTATTCATTATTCTACAGTTAGTTAAATTATCAATTTTCAGAATATGGCAGACTAATGGCCAAACTCAATAGGAACCAGAAAAAATTGACAAATATCATCTGAAAGAAATATTGGAATGGTATCATCACCCTCCACCAATGAACCCCGGACAAATAACTGTAGTGGTAATAAGTACAGTAAAGATATGTGACTGAAAAAACCACCCGAGACTTTTATAATTCGTACTGGATACAGGTATGGCAGCAGTATGCCAAAAATCACACTGGATATAGCTACGAAAAACATATTGATGGACTATATTGTTAATGGTTAGGTTAGTCAGAAAGGCCATCTTAGTAACTACCATCGTATAGTCAGCCCACCACACATGCGCATTGCATTATGCTGCCATACCAACAGACAACGACATTTTGCATATGACTGCCATACCTGTATCCTGTGTCTTTATAATTATCTTGTACCTGTTTCTCCAAAAAGAAATAGGAATCACGTGTAGATTAGCCCTTCCCACTTATTTCACCTTAAGATTCAACACCTTAACACTAGTACTGCACTTGGGATGGGTTTGGGTTAGGTTATTACATTAGTTTTAGTGGCTTTCTTGTTTAAATTTAGCCTATTTTTTACCAGTTTGTATGTGTGCATTGTTTAGTAAAACTTTAGTTTCGGTCATCCCTGTATTTAGATATCCTAACCTAACCGATTCCCCAGATGACCAAAACTAAAATAATACCCATTGTTTATGTATATAACTAAGAATAAATTGTTAACCAATTTTACTGAATTAATATAAATACATCTTCCTTGCAATGTTTTGGTAATAGATTTTGTTTAATGTACCAGAGTGGACCATTATCTTTGATACAGGGAGCTTATGAGCATTAATAAAACCTGTGAATCGCAGCTCCAGTTATAAGTACTACTGTATTTGGTGGCTAAGATTATTGAAGCTCAGAAGAAACTGTAGCTAAGATTCATTTGATGCCATAGTGGGAATCTTTACCCAAACTGTATTATATATATAGTACTGAAGTACATAGCTTTCTACAGTTCCAGATGTCACAAGACCTCAAACATTTATGACAAACAATCACACCAAATTTACACCCATCAATTATTTAAGTCAAATTTATTTACAAATTTCACAGCTTTAGTTGAATATAAAATTATCAAAAACATGAAAAAGGTTTATGGGAATGTTTATTCATTGCATTGTCATTATTATTCTTATCTTCGAAACAGCTGACCTACTCATAAACCAATCTTCTACCAGGTACCAGTACTTTGTATTATGGAAGACCTATTGTATGATTTAAGCTACATGTACATATGTGGTGGGTAGTGAAACGAGAAAGTGTTCCCCCCTGAAGGTTTTGTCACGTCTGTTGTGCTTGAAGAAGTTTTAACAGACCGGTCTGGCGTGCTCGTCCCTGTCACCTCTATCTTACCCTCACACCTGCTAACCAACTTACGTCTCAGCTTTATTTCCCTTTTTCTTTCCCATGTTGAAGATTTGTTATTCAGCATGAAATTTCACTGAATGAGTAACATATGGAGGAAGACAACACGAGTATTAATCCTCACACCAGTACACTACTAGCGCCGCCTGCCTGACGACCGCTACACTCACTCCTTCACTCTTCTCTACGGACTTACATAACTATACTCTACTTATACCTCCATTAATATAATTTTACACCATATAGTGCCTTTTTATATACCAATATATTATCCAATGAAAACATATCTGAAACAGTTTATCATTATATGTATAACTGCATTGTCTTGTACGAGTATTACCTGCCACTTTTACTTTATCTTATGTCTATACCTGCACTGTCAATATGAGTGTAGTACAAAAGACCCCTAGGACAAAAGCCCCTTAGGACAAAAGCCCCCTAGGACAAAAGCCCCCGAGGACAAAAGCCCCCTAGGACAAGAGCCCCTTAGGACAAAAGCCCCCGAGGACAAAAGTCCCCTAGGACAAAGAGGACAAAGCCCTTAGGACAAAAGCCCCTTGGGACAAAAAGGACAAAAGCCCCTTAGGACAAAGAAGGACCCCTTAGGACAAAAGCCCCCTAGGACAAAAGCCCCCAAAGGCAAATGCCCCCGAGGACAAAAGCCCCCTAGGACAAAAGCCCCTTAGGACAAAAGCCCCCGAGGACAAAAGCCCCCTAGGACAAAAGTCCCCCACGAGAAATAACAAGAATTTTTTAAATAATTGTATTTTTTTTTGTTTATGAACACTTTTCTAACCTAACTTAACCTAACCTTCGGGAATTCTGTTATAGTTATAAAGAAGTATACAAGGAATGTTTATTAAATCTGCAAAGATGTATGTTTTGTCTACTGGGGTACTTACTCCCCTGACATTCAGTGACCTCACTGAACCCTGGGGTCACCTCAGTAAATACAGAATGATCATGAAGGTAAAACATGTCGTTTGTAAATCATAGTCAGCCTGTATAATACTGCATGTTATTCCTGGTTAGTACTTCACCAAGTGTCAATAAGGTCTGAGGCAAAGAAACTCTACTCTTTGGTCTGAGTTGTGCAGTGACAACACTATTTTAACAAACTCTGTGTGTGATTGTTATGTGCAGAGAGAGTTTGTGGCATACAAGGTCCATGACCCACTTCATAAAGATAAAAACTTTTTCTTTGGGCTAAATAATTACCCTAGGTTGTGTGACTGCCAACTGTCTCATTCAATACACTAATATTTTTGGTATGATGATTGTTAACAATTATTTTATTGTTGATGAAAATTTTGCCTCAGCCTCTCAACTAAGAAAAAGAATTTATAATACAAAAAGATTCTACAAATTAACTCTGATAAGCATAATGCAACAATCTTTCAACAAGAGTTATTAACAACACACTGTTAATTGTAAAACAATTTTAAAACTAACCTCATTAACTTTTTACTTTTATCCTCTTCACCACTGATCAGCTCGTTAGCCGCTTGGGCGATCAATCACGTCTCTGTCACGCACTGTTGGCAATTACTAGTCATATACTGGCTCTCTGCTACGCACTGTTGGCAAGTACTGGGCATGCACTGGCTCCTGAATGTACCTGAACCTGCTCCAGTGTTGGTCAAGTCTTGTCTTGAATGAACCTACACTCGGTGCCGTCACAACACTTTCTGGCAGATTGTTCCAAGAGTTCACAACTCTCACTCCGAAAAAGTTTGCCCTCACAGTTTTCTGGACTTGTGGCTTCTTCAATCTTGAGCTGTGACCCCTTGTGGGGCGAGCGTCCGCCAGCTCTAAGTAAGGACACTCGACTGAGTAGTGCCCCTTGAGATGCTTATACACATCAATTAGGTCGCCCCTTGCGCGTCTGTAGTATAAGCTAGGCAAGTTCAGGCGCTCCAATCTCTCAGGGTAGTTGAGGTCCCGAAGTGTCAAATACTAAAACTGGGATATGAAACTTACCTGTGCTGACATTATACCATGACAAGCATTTAAATTAACAGCACGATCAATTGGAATTGAACCAAATTTGATGAAGCCCTATAAAATACAATGCTATGTAAACAAAGTCATGAAGCATGTTTTCACACTAAAATACTCTACTGTACATGTATTATGTACCTGAAGACTAGTTCCAAGCCTAATAGTTTTGACTCCATAACATGAAACATAAATCACTTACATATCAAATATTTAAAAAAATATTCCTCCAAGTACAGGAGACCACCATGGTACAGGTACCTACAATATATACTGTACTCAGGTTCTCTTACCTAGTTCCACTCCAGGTACACCCAGCTTGCAGGAGAAACTTGACCAATGTCATATTCAACTTTGCTGTACTCTTCTTAAGAACATCACCAGTGATTTTCATTCCATGCGTTACCTGGAACTGGATCAGTATCACACAACATACAAAAGTTGAAGAACTTAACGGTAAGTTTGCTGACCAGCTGAAGCTTCTACGTACCTCACCAGCAGTGAAATAGGACTCAAATATTTTTCTATCATCATCATTACTATTTTACAGTCATTTTCCATGCCTATGTGGGTTAGCTGTGATTCCCTGATGACAACTCTCCATATTGCATAGTCTCTTGCAGCCCCTCTTGTCAGGTTCTTATCTCTGAGGTCATTTCTTACACCCTCTCTCCATGTAATCCTTGGCATACCCCTAGCTTCCTTCTCTCAATTTTATTTTCTGAGAAAAATTTGCTAAATCAGCCCTAAAGAATGCCATTGAGCTGTGTGTGTATGGCTAGATCTAGTGCAGGGAAACAAGGCAATAAGAAATATATCAAAACACTTTGCAAATCATAATACTAAATCAGTTGTCTGAATAAAATATGAGAGCAAAGTATTTACTATACCAAGATGACCATTAATTGTTACGTGCAGTTTAGTAGATTCTTTTTTGCAATTTAATCGATATTTTTGAATAAGGTTTTAATAATATAAGAAAACATCCCATTATGTACATTTTATAACAGATTTATATTAAGCATTGTATAAATTCCATTTATACATAAAAATTGCCTTTTATAGACTAGATTAAATTCTATTTTATCATCAAAACATACAAAATACACATGAATACTTGTTAGACTTTTAAAACAAAAGCAATATTATATATACTAATACACAATCCTTGGCAGGTTACATTTTAATGATATACTCACCTAATGGCACTCAATAATGTGCTTTTGCTACTCAGCTAAGGCTCTTTCATGTTAAAATTTGTAGTTTTACACTTTCACTATGGTAGTGTAGTAAATTACAACCTAAAACTTAATGAAAGTTGACAAATTTTGTCCTGCATCAAGATACAGGGAGAAAACAAAAGTACTGTACATTTTATTACTTAAAAGAAAATTCAGGAAATAATTACTGGTAGTACAGTATCACACATTTCTCTACAACAAAGTACAGTATAAATATCTAATAGCAAAGCACATAACAACATCTACAGTACAGTATTTATTTCATTTCACAATGCATGGAAGGTTCTCCCCCTTAAGACTTGAAGGGGTTTACTAGCATCAGGCAGTGGATAATACTGACCAGGTCTTCATATTATGAGTGCAGGAGATCCTCAGTTTGTGCAAAGACCAAACAATCATGGAACATGCCTAACCCAGGTTATATTACGAGTCCACTAACTACAACATCACATTACTGGACTCTGCAAATATTATGGCTCTCTGAAATGTAGAGTAGATCAATTCAAGTGTCTAAGACAGGGATGCCCAACCAGTGGCCCGTGGGCCAAATCTGGCCCTGCCCTCAACCAATTTCTTTCCCTTCCAATAAATCAAGATGATGACACAATGTGTGCCATAATCACATCCAAGATACCATTTTGGTTTAAATATCTTTATCTTTTAACATTGATGTTTTGTAATATTAAACCTTTATTGTTAGATCCTAATACCTATAAATTTTCCTATAATAATTTATCAGGACCTCACACCATTCATACAGTTGTGTGCCCCCCCCCCCCCAAGTACTGCTAGACATTAAGTTTGGCCCTCTTGCAAAAATGGTTGAGCACCACTGGTCTAAGACATAGTACTGTACAACCTGCAAACATGAGATAAAATTACATGGGTCTCTCTCTACAAATGTCATAAATAGATTGTTGTACTGTAAACAATATGTATAACTACAACACTACTATGGTTCTATTATTACACTTAAGTTTCAGAGTACTGAATCAATACCAATCTGAGTTTTTGCTTTTTGTATTATGTAATCACAGCAAAAGTAAGATGCTATGACTTATGCTGATAACTGCAAAATATTTAACTTTTCATATACTGTATAGTATTATGCGCCATTCAGGTCACAGTGGCTGACCTATCCTACACTACCCATGATAAGATAATTGTTAATAAGGACAATTGTGCTTATTGCTAAAAAGTAGACATTTACACTTTTTGAAGTGTTATGTTCCTTTATTACAGTACTGTATTGTACAGTGTACCATTTACAGGCAGGATTGGTGGGTGTTATTCTGCTATGATGTGCACTAAGCCTGCCACCAACTACAGTACATCAAAACTTTGCTCAGTTGTAATATACACTGTACAGTACTGTATCACCAAGCAAAGAAGAATTAGCTAATCCCAGGTACAGTACATAGGTGGCAGAAATATTTACCAGAAGTAAAGTTCTCTGTTAATTCTACCTGAACCTCTGAGTGAAAGTTTTCCTTGCCTTTTGAGTCAAAATCTACTTGGGAGCTCCCTCAAACCCCAAGCATAATACTATTCACAATTTAAAACAATATATTATTTGCTACTATGCAATTAAAATTATGAGCCAAATCTATATACGTATATGAGAAAAATAATAATAATGATCATGAATGTGTCAAAAGTATCCATAAACATTTGAGTTACTGCAACCTCTGATTTTTAAAGTTAAAGGCTTCATAAAAAAAAAGAAACAGTTAGAATTTCTTTGAGTCAAATGAAAGGAAGTGAGAGAGTAATTGACTTTGACTGCACTACCTGTACTAATGTTTAAATTATTATATGATCTTTTCTTTTCACTCACTCCTTCTTTTATCACTGATTGTTGTTTTTTTTATGACTCTCACTGTAACACTTGGTGATCTGCAATAAATTCTCAAAATCCAAGTAATCCTTCAAACATTAACATTCATTGAATTCTTTACATTTAATTTTGATATTGTCCTTTTCGTTCCCTTAAGGTACAAGTTTTATTTTCCTATTACAGGTACTGTACTGCATTTGCTGAGGCATCTTGTTCTTCCCCCACATTTCTTAGTGAAAAGAAGTACAGTTCAGTAAAGTATTGCTTTATCAGTCAAACATGAAGCAAACCAACATCCAGACTTCCTTTGTAATGTTTTAATTACTGTAAATGGGTGGAGAACACTTGACTGTCAGCAACTACGATATTCAAGAAAGATTTGCCTGACCAGAGTTCAGGAAAACTATATACAGAACTGTGTACCACTCACATATTAAACAAGTGAATCAATGAAGTAGTCAACCATACTTGCACTGGAAGAAGTCTTTACTTGGTAACTTCATATACCATTCATAGTCCACTCTGGTAAGTTTATATATTTAAAAAAATATATAACTTTATCTCTCTACAGTACAGTATAAAGTTATTAACAAGCATTTGTTCATTAAGACTTAAAAGATTATTATCATAGATCAAACTTTAGTGACAACCTGATAAAAAGCTCACTGCATTTGTCCCTAAAGCAAGATTAACCAGACAAAGTAATTTTTCTTGACATCACATGTGCCATAGAGCAGACAAAATTACCGTATAAGGTCTTTCAATTACATTTGGTAATCATAACACACCTAACTTAACTTAGACAATTAGACCAAAAATGGTGGACTGAACCTGAAAGACTGGACTTGGTGGCTCATGTAATACCTCTAATAAGTTTAAGGGGGAAAAACTCAGGTAACCCCTCAACTTAATGGTTGGAACTAATCAAGGTTTAATTACCTGAATAATCTTCACCTATGACCAGTACAATTAAAAATACTTTACAGTATTTGACAATAGGTGTTGCCATTAAATCAGAGAGCAAATGAGTACACTACAGGTACTTGTCCATCACTTGTTGCTTACAACCTGTACCATGAAGATCAACCCCAGCTCAGTGTAGCTGCCTTAGTAACACACCTGAGAGAAGAGAGGGAGGGGAGCTGCGTTGCTTAGTCCAGTCTCCGCTATAAAATCAGATTCCAGGATGACTGTTTTCTTTATGAAAAATGTTTAAGTTGATAATATACCCTAATTTTGTAGAATAAAAAAGGACAAATATTGATGCAAAAGTTGACTTGTGGCACAAAGAAGATACTGTATACAGCATAATACAATTTTAACCCTTGGCTACCTGTTTAAATAATTGTCAGTTAAAATGGATATTTCCAATATGATGTTATATTGTATCAGTCATGTATTAATAACTACATAAACTCCGGAAACTGTACAGTATATGTGTTTTAGTACGTACAGTACCTGCCAGGATGGGTCTGATTACTGTACTTCCATAATGCTACTTCCAACCGAACATCATATAAATTACACCAAAACGAAATACACATTGCATTACTTATGTTAAACTTTATACCAAATTAAATGAATGTCCCAATACTGTATCTATCATCCGTGGTCTCAAAATGTTTCACACACACCGTGGACAGATACTTTTTGAGATACTGTACAGTACAGTACCGATATCTATACCTGTATAGACTTACACAAAACACAACAGGTTTGAAAATATTGCTAATAATTATGCTACTTTTTCTTAGTTCTTGCAAATGAACGACTCTTAACTAAAAGCAAACAGTACTATACTGTACTGTACTATATAGTAATGACTGTAGTGATCAGTACTTATTTCCACTGCAGGCGATGAAGTGTCCACCAACAAGAATACCTGTAAGTGATATCTGCCAGTTGGTTGTTGGAGTAAGACAATGGCAACACACTTCAATAAACTGAACTCTAACAACTGTGTACAGTGCAAAGTATAAAAAATAGAGCATGCTAACAACTGTCAAAAATATACATTATACTATAAAGCAATGCATTGTTATAAAATTTAAAAACAAATATAGTTTTGTGCTTAATCATGTTTAAGTGTGGTAAAAAGACCTCAGTGTTATGGTGGGATGTACTACAGTGGTCCCTCGATTAACGAACGGTTCAATTAACGAAATAGCTCCCATAAGGATTTTCAGTTCCATTAACGAACAAAACTTGGATTAACGACAGCCTTACGAGAAACACGCTTTGTTGTGAGCATCAGCTGATCGGCTAGTCCGCCAATACAGCAATCGGTTCTATGTTTACATTGGTTTCCAGTGGAGTAAATATCAAGAAAGTTGTGCTCTTTAATATTTTTAAATTTATTATATCAATATTATTGGTCATTCTGAAATTTAGTTTACATACTGATAATGTATACAGTACAGGGAACAGTTTTTGTGTGCCCTTCAGCTGATCGAATCGCCCACCAACGCTTCTCGGTTTAACTTTGTTTACAGTGGAGTGAACATCGAGTTTGTTGGTCTCTTGAATATTTTTGCATTTTTACATTAAAAATACTGTATTGGTCATTCTGAAATTTAGTTAACATATTGATAATATACAATACAGAAATTATTATGAAACATGAAGAAGGCATTAGAACCAATGCGCTTTGTAAAGAATATGGCATGTCATCATCAACTGCCTCAACAATCATCTGTTTGATATATAAACAAAGCTGCTGGGAATATGACATACACACCTCAAAGTAAGTTAAAATATAGTATTCTATTGTTTTTTATTTATTATTGTACAGTGTACTGTACAGTACAGTATTTAGTTTATATTTAATGCTTTGTTAATTCTATTACTGGTATACAGTACTTTGTATGTACAGTACAATATTACCCCGCTTTACACGGTTTTTTTTTTCGCATTTCTACGTTTACGCGGTACCCTGCCAGAACCGGAATGCTCACTTTACGCGGTGCGTGTACTCTTTTATGCGGAGAGAGGTGCGGGCAGGGTGCGCACAAGGTCACCCAGTCATCAAAACATTACCGAGTTCTTCACCCGCCACCCACCACAGCCGGCCCAAGTCGGTGATAGTGATAATGATAGTGAGGATATGGACTTATATGGACTTTGAGGGGTTTGACAAAGAGGCCCTGCAAGCCTCTGTGGTGGATAGTGATACAACTGATACAAGTGATACAGGTGAGGGCCAATAATCTGCCCTCTGCCTCGGAACCAACCCCCCATCCCCGTGTGCCCAGCCATCTTTTCTACTAATGCAAGTGTTAAAAAACCTAATAATATTGATATTTCTCTTAATTATTAATTGTGTGTGCATACCATCATAAAATTAAGAAGTTCTTTTTACTACAACGTATGTAGGTATTGTGTCTGAAAAAGTGGAGATTGGGGGTCGGCCCGGTCTCTATTTCAATTAATCCCATATGTTGTGTTGTTCACTTTATGCGTTTCTCGCTTTACGCGGGCCTCTGTGGGTTCAATTGACCACGTAAAGCGAGGGTTCACTGTATACTTTTTCTGTGAGTTGGAACCAATTACCAAATATCCCATTGAAATAATAGATTAAGTTAACAAAATTTTTGGTTAACAACCGACTCTGTGGAAACAATTGTGTTCATTAATCGAGGGGCCACTGTATACTGTAATTGGATTTTGATGTGATAAGAATTTGATTTCATATAAAATTATCAATGTACTTATATTTTAGTAAAGATTTACCCAAGCTGAAGAGATTCTGTTCCATGGAAAATGAACAGTCGACTACTTTGTGACTCTGAGCCAAGTCATATCAGCAATCTCATTCTCTGGCATGCAGCTGGAACCAACCTCACCTGAGTAATGAAAATTCTGTACAGTACATAAATTGTGAGCAACAAGTTCAACCTTTATTACAAGAATGGGAAAATAAGTTTAAGAAGAACCAATAACTTAATTTCAATTATGTTAAAAAACAAACAAATTGTGAAGTTTAGCTGCATAAGCCAATGTTTCCAACACCAAGAGTAAACTTCTGACCCCCTCTCCCCCCCACATAATGTTTGGTTAATCTCTTTCTCACATTAAAAATATACAGAATTGTATACGGTAGGCCCTCCAAATTCGCGAGGGTTAGGTTCTCAAAATGACCGTGAATAGCCAAATCCATGAATAACATTTGCTGACCAGGGAGGGGGGGTAAATTTTTACTTGTGTACAAAGAAATGTATATTCCTTTATGTGTTTGCCCTTAGGACAATTATTTCTTTTGCCTGTATTGTATATATTATGTATGTGTGCGTGTGTAGAGACATACACACGCAAATACTCTGTAAATAATAATTGGAAAAATCCTCTCACAAATAATCAGAAAAAAATTTATTTAAAATGTGACAGTCTACCCTCAAGTCCGTGCTTTAATAATAAAGTAATAAAGCACAGACTTAAGGGTAGACTGTCACATTTTAAATAAATTTGTTTCTGATTATTTGTGAGGGGATTTTTCCAATTATTATTTATTTGTATGTGTTTTGGGTGTGTGTGTTTATACACACACACACACATATTTACAGTACAGGTAAAGGAAAATACTGTCTCTAGATCGAATAGCTCCCTGTCCCGGCCACGAAAATGCCGGCAACTTTAAAACTACCCGCAGACATTCTTGGGTACATTCAGGGTGTCATCCGCGCATAATAGAGGACCGCGAAATAAAAACCCGCAAATTTGGGGGCCCCCTATATATGGTCATATTTAAATCTTTTGTCATGATTTTCTGTACTTCATGTGCATTATCTAACAGAAAAATAAATAATAAGCAATAAATAATGAAGGACCCACTGTCGAGAAGATGTAAACAAGTTTAAACCAAAAGATTAACACTAATGGCTTCATGCAAATTATGAGAAGTTTCAGTGATTATCATTATTATTCTATACATGGAAATGCACACAATGAGCTGGAAGAGATCAGAAGCTTTGTAAGCACATTATGTGCAATTAAATAAATTATTATGAATTATTAATGCATATTCTAAAACTTCCATTATATAGTATTCCATCTCTTCTTAGTCACAAAATACAGTATTAGTGAAGATGACACCCTGTCGATGAACTTATCTTTGCCTTTAACGTCATGACAAAATGTTTTGTACCACTATTAGGGGATAATCACTTCCCTAAAATATTTCATAGTCCTGCGAGCCAAGACACCATAAACAAGTTTCACAATGATAGAAGGAAGATATTATTCAATCTGCTGCTCACTAGCCATTAAACATATACATAATATAAACAAAGACTCCATGTTAGGTTACTACCACATGGGTCTTTCGTGCCTGATACTCTGGAGACCATAACTTAACCAGTCCAAGCAATTTTCAAACCATCTACTGTAGATACATTAATATAAAGGTACAGTATAGTAAAATACGGATATATGAAATTCAGATGAGAGAATTTAGTGATTTTAGGCACGGTCAGCACTGACTTTCCCATTTAAATGATTCCACTAGCATGACGAGCAATATTTATGGATGTCAAACTCAATGTGGATTATTTTGCTACTTCTGGTTATAGCACTACTAACTCTTATCACAATTTATGTGGCTTACTTAGATATTACAAGCTAAACCACTGCTCACAGAGATATTGACCAAGGAAAGACAGAGACAATGGCCCACTGGTTTTGTTGACGTGTTAAAAGTACAGACACGAATGTAAAGTTCCTGGGCTGTGGATTAAACAGGTAAACTGGGTTATTAAATGCAGATGCAGATAATTTCTTTGGTATCTGTTCTATTTAAAATATATTTTATTGGGATAGCAGATTAAAACTTTGTTCTAAAGACATATTAATGTATAAGCCAGGAAGCAAACTTTATGTGGGAAGAAAACAATTAGATTTGGAATTACTGTATAAGATATCACAATCAAAACCAATTAATTATAATTGCATTTTTCATTTTATTTACTTTTTTTTTATCCTGGCAAGATACAAACGATGTTACTTTATTTCCCCTAAAGTTTTTTTTTTTCAAACAACTCCCATTTTATATATGGCTGTATAAATTTGTTTAGTTAATTCTATGATGTGGCTCACAGCATTATAGTTAAGTACTAACTATTAAAACTATTTTGGGTTACACATCAGGATCCCAGATATCTTCCAAAGTAAACTTTATAAGAAATCAACATAAAACTTAAGGTGAAACAACTACAGTACTGTACAACTAGAGGCCAAACATGCATGAGGCTGACGTCTGTATACACATAATTACAACCATTTTAGATGATGGGCATGATGAGATAAGTTAATAAATAACTTGAGCACTGCACCTGAATAATTTACTTATAAAACATGGTTCAAGCTTCATGGTGTTCTTCACAAAGTATGTTGAGTGTTTCCATATAGTGATGGCTCAGTGAGAGGAAACAGTAAGAAGTACCAAGCTATAAGACCCATAACATGGTATGCCATTAGCTTAATACGTAATGGGTTTGGTGCCTTTATCATCTCCTTCACCTCTGGCAGACCCATGTGGTTGCAGAATGCATGGACTGCAAACAAAGGTAAAAAATGACCTGCAAAGAGAAAATTTTAAAATATGTTATTCAGTATGTATAGTACAAGTTCCTTTACTTTAAAATACAGTAATAATATTTTTACCTATCCATCAATACTTAAGCTGCTATGCTTCACATAAAAAGTTGCAATGAAAACTAAACTCTTTAAGCAAAGATTGGTACAGTACCCACTTTCTTCATATTTCATGAATTATATCTCTGAAATGGTATACCCCCTGTACTGTAGTTATTTAGATAATAATTTGAAAAGACCACAGTTAACGCACCTATGAACATACAATACGAATACTAATATAATTTCACTTTTAATAATTATAGAGATCAAAGACAAGTAGACAGACAGGCAATGTGTTTGGTGTTTTCCCCAACTCGATATGTCAGGATTAAATGCCTAAATGTGACACTACTCCTTATATGGTTAAGGGTTAAATGAAATCACAACAACTCTTACCTGTTCTAATGAAGAGAAAGGCTGAGTAAAAGCCAAACACTGATGTATAAAGGAACTGGAAACCTGTTGAAAATACAGATTTTACTTCATGTTAACAAGATTAAATTATCTGTCTATATATAGGTCATACATATCTGGATACCATGAATATGATTACCATATTAGTATCACATTGAAAATTAAAGTGTACAGTACATGCATAACTATAAACATTCTTAAAATGACAGCAGCTCTACCTCCAGTATGTCGAGGTACTGAAACCCCAAAGCCTCAATTTATGTGACTGGGATATAAAAATTAAATTTAAAAATTAGATTTTTCTTCACCTTTACACACCCTGAAGGATGACCTTGGTTATGATGGTATCCTAAAAAGAAAAAACTTAAGTTTTTCTTTCACATAGAAACTCTTAAGCTTTAATCCTCTCTTAGTTTACAACATCGACCACAAGATGATATCATGGGGATCAACACTTCAGATCCAGTCACATGGTTGTACAGAGAGGAGCTGCTCAGCACCTACTCTCACAATACACGCAGCTAGCATTTTTAGAGAATTTCATACACTTATATATAGTGAATCCTACTATATTACAAAGACCTAGGAGTTCTTTTGATAAGTTTATAATATACTGCAAGAGTATTTATTTTGCTTAACAACCTAAATTGGTGGTTAGTTAGCAAGTTATACTTTCCCAGCACATAAACCAGTTATATGCCACATATGGGTTTTGGCTAAAGGTAAATAAGAAGATATCTTAGTTCTCCAGGAGGAAATTATCTGGCATGGACTCTCAGAAAAGTTCCATATCAGAAATTCATATTGTGTATCGCACCTCAGAGGTCATTAAATCTGCTTGTAATATGCTTTTTCAGGGCTTATTAAGTGCTCCATTATTCTTGATGGTGCTTCATCATGTTGCACCACCAAGAATAAATGAGAATATTATAAACCTTAAAATAGTACAGTACACTTTTCAGGGGTTTATGACAACTGGTTACCAGGATATGGGTTATTTGACGGAAGCAATTGGATCATTTCTTTAGTGAATCTTCCAATTTCCCTCACTCTTAAGCTGGTTACCCCAGGTAATGCATCCTTTCAACAAAGATCTTAGGGGCATGCCCTGCTATTCAGTATATTTCTCAAGGCACTTGTATTAATGACAAGAATACTGTATCACATAATTTACTCATCATCATCAAAGTTTTATGGCTATTTTCCACACAAACATGGGTTAGCCACAGTTACCTAATGGCAGCTCTCCACGCTGTGTGGACAATGCAATCTCTTGCAGCCTCTCTCATAAGGTTCTTCATTCTGATGTCATTTCTTACAACCCCTCCCCATTTCATTTTTTATCTAACCCTTGGCTCTCTTCTCCACCTTTACTCTCATACATCTCTTGACCCAATTGGTCTCCCCAATTCTCTCCACATGCTCAATCATTTCAGCCTTCCTCTATCATGACTTTGACAATACTCTACTGTACTTTCAATGCTAACAGATGAATTATTGTTAATTCAAGGGCTTAGTCTGATGAAAAACTGTTCAGTCCAAGTGCAAACAGGTTGAGGGTTGGTGGTTCAACCCGCACCCTATGTCACAGGAAGGAATGATTCACTAACACTGGATATTACTTTACATTTGTGTGTTCTAAAATCAAAAGAAACACCCAGTTGCCCATAGTGTTGGAGCAATCACAAAACAGCTCCTCTTCATTCAGCTGTATGACTGGGTTTGACATACTGGCAGTCCTTATAATGTAATGTGATGTGTCATCATGTCATCAAGCAAAAGCAGATCAAAACATACATATTTATATTTGCAGCAAAAACCTCTGCTAATTCCCTTTGATCTGATTTGATAATGATGGTTATTAAATTTTTTTAGTTCATTTAATTTTTAGATCCTGGTCAGACAAGTTAGGGCCACTGGCATGTAGAGATTGAACCTCCAAGACTTGCTGGATACCTAGAGCTGCTTGATCCTGACATACTATATTATGAAATTATAATCATTAGGACCATCATTATTACTATTACTTTTACTGCATCTTTAATACAGTATCCATATACAGTATATACATTATTTATTTTTAATTAAATAACAGAAAATGAGAGATCCTGAGAAAGCACATGCTCTTACTGGATATGAGAATAACGGCTTGAAGATCAATTCCTACTCGTAGACGGTCAACGGCATGATGAAGATGAGCTGCAGGAGAAAAAATACAGAATGCTACATCCCAATTTTTAGTCATAAGTGATGAGATCATTACCCTCTTGATGATAGTAAAAAGCCTTTAAACTCTATCATGATGTGATAGCCTATATACTTTATGATATGGCTGACCAACCAGTAAACTAGACTTGTGTTTATTTATGCTGATGTATCACATTGCTGATGCTATGTGGTTCACTGTCCACTTATTAAGGCAAAAAGTACTGGGAGGGACATTCAAAGGGAACTGAACATACCAGATCCATTTGGACAATGTTGAATGATGAATGTGACTTTATTCTGTGTATGAAAAAATGGTCACAGTTACCTGACTATCGATAAGTAAAACCATACAAAGAAACATATTGATTAAATAATTTCATTAAAACTCACCAACACCAAAGAAAAGTGGAGCAATAAAGATGGCCTTTCCTGGAGAAACACATTGCAAGAGAATAGGCAACATGCAGGCACGGAAGGTAAACTCCTCAGAAAAGGGAGCAACTACTTGATTGCGCCACCAGATTGGATTTTGTGCTGTATTATACCAATACAGAGGATCTGAAATGTAATCTTTTTTAAAGTGTACATCACCAATCTTCAAAAATTCCAATTTAAAAGATAAATTATATCTCTGTAGTCAATTACATACAGTACTTGTATAAATAATATACATACAGGTACTCCTCGACTTACGACCTACTTGACTTTCGACCACCCAGACATACGGCCTCCACAGTCATAAAAAATATTTTATACGACGGCCGCAGTACGTATTTTCGAGTCTCGACGTTAGTGATCGCGCTGTGTACTGACAAAATTTTCGTTTGTAATTCCCTTTAAAATGGCTGGCAAGCGTAAAAGTGAGAGTTCTCGTAGTGCTGAGAAGAAAAAGAGACACCCATTTTAGATTTTCTATCTATTATTTTCGCATTTTTGACTTAAGACCAATTCGACTTATGACCTGGTCGTCGGTCCCTAACCCCGTCGTAAGTCAAGGACTGACTGTATACTTAAAAATATTATCCACTCCATATAAAAACACACAAAGGGAACATTAAAAATTGTTATGATCTAACTACACAGTATTTTCACTTAACCTTGATCAAGGTTCATCTATAATAACCCTATTGAAAAGAAACTGTACTGAGACGCACCAAAGTACATGTGAAGAGTGTAAGTGATTGGCACTGAGAGGTGGGACTGGATGAGGGGCCCCAAAAATAGCACAAATGTGAGGATCATCGGCAGCACTAAAGCAGGTATCATTCCCTCCCACCTCAGGCCCATCTGTGACCACAATGTCACCTGGAAAAAATAAAAAGTAGATTTATATATTGAAGCATTAGTTGAGTTAAATATTATTAGGGGAAATCATGTCAATACACAAACTTACAACAGTACAGTACAGGTAGTTCTGCTATAACGCGATAATTGTGTTCTTGTAAAATATCGTGTTATAGAAAATCGCGTAATAGAAATAACAGGGCTTATGGAGAAAATAGGGTTAGGTGCAGATTACTCGAAATCGAAAAAATTTAGTAGTTAGCCTAACACAAAGGATAGCACAGTCTAAATAAATGTTACATTCATATCTAATAATGAAATCATACAGTAAATGTAAAACTTTACTTGATGGGGGAGAAGGGTGATTTTGAGGTTGATAAAATCGAGCTTCTCTTCAAGTGTTATATCCTTTCTTTTACGATCATCACCGGGAATTCTATCACCAGAACGCTTCTTGTTGATATTCTTCTTTACTATATTCACAGTTAATACCACAAAATTGGAGAAATAGTAAGCAAAAATCGCGTTATAGCAAACAAGCGTTCGCGTTATACAAATATCGTTCCTAATTCATAAATCGCGTTAGAGCAAATTCGCGTTATCAAAACACGCGTTATAGCAGAACTCACTGTATAGTACAGTACCAGGTACAGTACAATACAATACAGTATGATACAGTACAGTACAATACAGTACAGTACAGTACAGTACAATACAGTGCAGTATAAACCCTCAACAATATCAACATTATTGGGCCAGAATCTATAATTATATAGTACCGTATTTCCCAGACCCATAAAATTTCACTCAAGTCATATATATGTTCACTTATAATATACTGTACATTACTTCTCACAGTTACTGTACTTTATTAATTAACGTTGAAACCCAGACCTAATACAGTATTTTTTATATATCATTCTACAAGAGATATAATTTAATTCAAAATACAAAGAAGCATGAAATTTAGACAGAGTAAACTCACCTCTTCTGAATCTTTACTGCCAAACCATATGACAAAAAATGGAGACACAATTGTCATAAAGAAGACACTGATGCACCGCTTCTTAATTGTAGATGGATGGTCTCTGGAGACAGAAGGATCATCACGAATTAAATCACCATTAAGATTCCAATACAATACTTGTATTTGTTAATAATATGTGAAGAAAAATAACATCTCTCTCTCTCTATATATATTGGAGGGGGAGGGGGGCTGAACATCACTGCTTATTTGGTCTATTTCAAGAAAATCAGACATAAGTAAAGTTATTTCAATGTGCTCACAAAATACTCGCACAAACCTTTGTCTCCCATTTGACCTGCTAGTGATCCTGAAAATTCAATGATAATGATGCAATTTTTAATGTATTTCTGTTTTCCAGGAAATGCACCTGCATTATATGATACTGTACTCATGTGTCCTGACTGGACTTCTTTAAGGAATCTTGCTATGATTGTGAAAAAGTTGGGAAAACATTTTGAAAGTTCAGCACAACATTGGGAAAAGAGCAGGAGTAGTGAGGCTACTGAGGCATTAAAGATTTGATTGTTGCAGATTTACAAATGCATGTATTAAATCAATGTGGTTGCTAAGAATGGAGAAATTAACTTTGAGATCATGAACTGTTTTTCAGCAACTCCACCACCAGAACCTCTCTTAACCATCCAATTTCAAATTTCATATAACATTTTTTACTTTTGTAGTTGATCAGCTGCTCTTTTGTATACGGACTTTGTGAAAATAGCAAGTAAATACCAATGTACCTGTAGATGTCGAGATTGATGGCCATTTGTTGATGTTATCGAGCCACTCCTTTCTTGGAATTTCAAACAGATGACAATATTCAAAATTCCTTACCTTCTCAAAATATTTCCTAGATTTACTAACAAACCCTTTTTTTTTACATTTACTCCATATCACAGCCAGTTATAACCTACAAGGTGCTCATCCATCCTAATTGGTCTCCACCACCAGAGCATTCCTAAATTATTAATGGCCAGACAAGATATACCTTACGTGTACATACTGTACTTGTGTGTCTCCACTAAACAATGACGGTTGAGCCACGAGGATTAATGTATCAAAAGGTAGGAGATGGGTTATGTAATTATACTTTATTGCCATCCAGTTTGGAAGTTAAGTAAAATTATGTAGATTTGCTTGGTTAGGTCAGGTTCTGTGCATTATTATCTCCATTTCTTGTTTAGTATCATGCAAATAACATCTACAAAAATTTTGGTGCAATTACATATATTTTCATGTTGGTAATTATTGACGTCCGATCCGCCGACGATTTAGCATAGTAAAAGGCGGGTGTTAACCGTCTCCTACACCATTAACGACGTCAATGGCATCAGTACAAGAGGGTCTAGATAGTGATACACATAACTATGCTTAAACAAGTTCATTAAGAAACTTGCTAAAAAAAATTGAGATACAACATATGTATAGTTCCTATTACTATGTATGATGCATAACAGCTTGTCAACCCAAAATTAATGCAACAAAATCACAAACCCTGAAAATTAATTAACTTCTGCCTAATTTGGGATTGTTTACTCTAGACAAGTGCTGACATAGTTTGATTAATCACCTGACACAATTGGTACACAATAAAAAAAATGTTTTCATACCTTCCCTGAGTTGCATTCCACACATATAAGCTTCCAACGTAAAGGAAAGAGAGAAGAATGCAGGCAAAAACTTCTTTTAAACACAAGCCACTCATATTAGCAGTACGACAAGGTGAGTGTGTTTGTTTACAGTTGTGGACGGTTATACTCCGAGATGTTCCCATTTTCTATCTCGGCCAACTACTGATTTATCATTTATAAGTTTACTAGCTGTTCAAACGGTCAGTCTATTTGTTACATCCTTCAATTCCAAGTGTTATTATAAGAGGAAACTTAGATGCCATAGCAAACCTCAGATGTTTGAAGTCACACCACATCCCTACCCTTGCTGGGGATGGAACCCGGGACGTATTACCAAGAGGCACGAGCGTTCATTTTTAAAAACGTACGATTAAAATTAAATAATTTCGTCACTCCGCGAATATAATTTTAGGCTGGTAAGCTTGACCAACATAGTGTATAAGGACTTTGATGAACCTTCTACAATAGAAACACATTGTAATGGTGTCAACATGGTTTTATGCTGGAACATCAGGGTAGGCTCCAACCATTTGGGAATGTTTATTTGAAAATTAACAACTTACCAGCATTTTTTAAATTTCAGTGGATTGTAGTAATTTCAGCTTGCGTATTCACTTCTTTGTGTAATTCAAAATAAATTGTCAAGAGGGATAATTTCGTTTCTAGGTTGGATTTGGGGGGAGTGAAAATACAGTACCTAATACACACCCATATTACTCCCTTTTCTTCCTCCCTTTAACCCCGTATTCCCTGTCCTACTTCCCCTCTCCATTCTGTATTTTTCCATCCCAACCTTTTCCCTTTTCAGTTACTCCTCTCCTTCCCATCTCCCCCTATAGCCATAATTACTTATGATAACTCCCCATATCAAGATGTGTGATAACAAGGATATCAAGAATGACCATAAAACAATGATGACGATTCTGTCCAATGAGAATACATCAGTTTTTCAGTTGGTGGTGATGTACGAAGGTCAATAAATTACATTTTGCAATATGAATTGACAGTTGTAAAGCACGAACTGACAAAAGTGTATTTATGAGCTGATGCAGCTTCTGAGAATGTTACTACTAAGTGCAGAGACGTAACCGAAAACAAATTCTGGCATGAATGTCATGTACACTAATACCGACACGTTTCTTGATAAAAGAGAGGAGTTTGAAACACTACTGAAGGTACACCAACCCGATATTGTAGGAGTTGTAGAACTGTTGTACAAGAACAGGAGAATCGACCCAGAGGAAAGTGAGTTCAGTATTACTGGATATAACTCAATTACGAACCTTTCTCAAGAAACTTGCAAGAGGGGTGTGGTTATCTATGCTAGGCAACACCTTAGAGCCAGCTAGGCGAGGGTAGAGGTTGAGGATGTTTTTGAAGAGTCCAAGAGGTGTTAAAATTAAATTAAAGGGAGGAGACTTACTTATCGTCGGGTGTATCTACAGATCCCCAAACTGTGGCCCACTAAATTAAAGGAACTTAAGAGCCCTAATAGACAATACAGCGATGCTCAACCCTAGCCACCTCCTTATCAAGGGGGACTTTAACTATGGCGACATCGACTGGAGAAACGAGTTCACCCCAAATGACTTGAATAACCTTGCTACTCTTTTTGTAGAAACTCTGAGAGATAATTTTCTGTTCCAACATGTTAGAGGCCCGACACATTAAAGAGGGGAGCAAGCACCCAAGCCACTAAACATCATCATAACAAACGAGGAGGGTATGGCGGCCAAACTGGAACACCTTGCGCCAGTTGGCACCAGTCACCATATAGTGTTGTCATTCAGATTTAACTGTTACCTAGTTCAAGATAAGGCCAGGCCAAGGTGCAAATATTACAAGGGAAATTACAACGGGATGAGGGAAGAGATGTAGAGTATCAACTAGCCTGACTCATTAAGGCATAAGAACACAGACACTACGCTGAATATCATCACTAGTAAAGTGACCCATTTGATCGATAAATATACTGTATACCCAAGACCAGACCCAGTGCCTCTTGGAATACGAGGGGATCCCTACACATGAACCATGCGGCGGTCGACAAAGTTGAGAAGAAAACCCAGAAATTCAAGACGTGGGTTGGGTCAAATGATGAGCAGGACAGGAGGATGTATGCAAGAGCCAGAAACCAAGCAAAGGCAGAGTGTAGAAGGGCTGAAAAGGAGTTCCAGAGGCTGGTTGCAAGCGAGATCAAGTCAAACTCAAAGGCTTTTTACCGCTATGCAAAGTCGAAATTAAAAACGCAAGTAGGAGTATCAGGCCTGATGCTTCAAGATAGTAGTTATGCAGATTCTGACCAAGATAAAGCTGAGGCATTGAACAGCTTCTTTTCCTTGGTGTTCACAGCATTGACCCACATTGTGTTCACAGAAGAGGGTATTAGAAATAAACTGTCACAGCTAAAGGTCCATACGAGTCCCGGCCCTGACTTGGTGCATCCTAGAGTGCTAAGGGAGTTGTGCAACGAGCTTGCCGAGCCCCTGAAGATCCTGTTTTGTAAATGCTTGGATGAACAAAAGGTCCCCAGTGAATGGAAAGTGGCTTATGTGAGTCCTATCTTCAAGAAGGGCGATTGTCACTCCACGAACAACTGTAGACCGGTGAGCTTGACCAGCATAATATGTAAAGTACTTTAGAGTATTATCAGAGATGCCACAATGGAACATCTACTATGAAACAACCTTGTAAGGGATTGCCAACACGGTTTTATGCCGGGGGGCTCCTGCTTAACACAATTGCTCAAGGTATTGGATATTTGGACCCATATTCTGGAACAGGGTGGTAATATCAACAATATTTACCTAGATTTTGCCAAGGCTTTCGACGGTGTATCCAACGAAATGCTGAAGATCAAACTGGAAGGGTACGGAATTCGGGGAAATGTCCTAGCGTGGATAGAAGACTTTCTACAAGACCGCAAGCAGTGTGAGGTGATTAATGGCACGAAATCATCATCCGTACCTGTCACAAGCGGGGTACCACAGGGCAGCGTATTGGGCCTGCTGTTGTATGTTTGTTTGTTTCATAAATGACATGCCTGACGTTGTACACTCCTCCATACAAATGTTTGCCGAGGACGCCAAGTTATTTCGGGAGATCAAGAACTAAGCGGACTGTGAAGAGCTGCAGAAGGACCTCTGTGGGTTCCAAGAATGGTCGAAGAAATGGCTGCTGAGATTCAATGTCACGAAGTGTAAGAGGATGCACCTGGGGCGTACCAACGGTAAGGAGGAGTATCACATGTCCCAACGGGATGAAGAAACTGCACTATTTGAGACTGAATGTGAGAAGGACTAGGTGTGTATGTTGACAATGAGCTGAAGTTCTTGGGCCATTGCAAGAAAAAGGTAAACCAGGCAAATAAATTATTGGGTCTTATAAGAAGGTCGTTCAGATATCTAGACGGTCCGTCCCTCGTAATGATCTTCAAGAGTGAAGTGCTTCCCCATCTGGAGTACTGTCACCCCGTCTGGTCCCCGAGATATGCTAGGGACTGTCAGTTAGTTGATAATGTTCAAAGGAGGGCCACCAGACTGGTGCCTGCACTTCGGCACCTCAGCTACCCTGAGAGATTGGAGCGCCTGAACTTGCCTAGCTTATACTACAGACGGGCAAGGGGAGGCCTAATTGAGGTGTATAAGCATCTCAAGGGGCACTACTCAGTCGAGTGTCCTTACTTGGAGCTGGCAGACGCTCGCCCCACAAGGGGTCACAGCTCAAGATTGAAGAAGCAGCAAGTCCAGAAAACTGTGAGGGCAAACTTTTTCGGAGTGAGAGTTGTGAACTCTTGGAACAATCTACCAGAAAGTGTTGTGACGGCCCCGAGTGCAAGCTTTTTCAAGACCAAACTTGACCAAGACTGGAGCAGGTTCAGGTACATTCAGGAGCCGGTGCATGCCCAGTACTTGCCAACAGTGCGTAACAGAGACGTGACCGATCGCCCAAGCGGCTAACGAGTCGATCATTTGGTGAAGAGGATAAAAGAAAAGGAAAAGTAACAGAGACGTGGTCGATCGCCCAAGCGGCTAACGAGCAGATCAGTGATGAAGAGGATAAAAGTAAAAATATAGCAACAAATGATGTAGGAGACATATACTTTGAGTTCCAGTATTCACTCGGACAATCAACACAGTGAATGCTCGAACTCAAAGTACATGTCTCCTATGTCTTTTGTTGCTATATTCGTCGGTTCATGCTTTACAACTGTCAATTCATACTGCAAAATGTCATTTGTTGACTTTCGTACATCACCACCAATTGAAAAACTGTCCATTTGGGCCGAAAAATGCTGTTAACTGTACTGTAGTTCCATCTCTAATGCTCCATATTACCTTTGCCAATTCCAACACTTATTATATCATATACAGTATAGTCTGCATTTACGCAGTCAATTGAACCCGTGGAGGCCCGCGTAAAACGAAAAACGCGTAAATGAAATAACAGAACATATGGGATTAATTGAAATAGAGACTGGGCCAACCCCCAAACTACACTTTTTCCGACACAATACGTACGCTGTAGTCAAATAACATCTTAATTTTATGATGGTATGCACACACAATTAATAATTAAGAGAAATATCAATAATATTAGGTTTTTTAACACTTACGTTAGTAGAAAAGCTGGGTCGGCACACGTGGATGGCGCCTGGTTCCGAGGCAGAGGGCAGATTAGTTGCCCTCCGGTGAATCACTTTCACTACTCGTAGAGGTTTGCAGGGCCTCCCAGACAAACCCCTCAAAGTCCATATCCTCACTGTCACTATCACTATCACTGACTTGGGCTTGCTGTGGTTGTGGTGGGTTGCAGGCGAGGAGTCCTCAATACTAAGTTGACGACTAGCATTGATGTTGTCGAGATAGATCTGGAAATACGGCTCCATAACTTTCGTCAGATGGTTTTTAGACACTTCATACCGATGCTTGTCTGGGTCGTTGTCAAGGATGAGCTTAATTTTCTCCCCCAACTCGATGATTTCCTTCACATTATCATGGCTTGGTCCAGGTAATTCAAGGGTTTTCTCGGGTGGTGGGGGTCCCGCGGAAGCCATTGTGAATTGTGAGGGGAATAGCGGGCACAAGAGAGAACTGTATACGGGGACTGAGAACAATGAGACAGGCCCAGCTAGGTCAGCGACTTCTACCCTCTGGTGGCAGGGCACGTCACGTTACATTAGACCAATCACAGCTAGCGGTGGAGGGAATGCGTGGGTGGTAAGGATGCTTGGCCCAATCACAGTCCGATACGTCATATGACATCAGCGATAACGTAAGAGCGGCCTAATACGCACCACTCACCGCGCCGCTTCCCGCATATTGTCAAGAATGGACCGCGTGGGTAAAAAATGGTGCGGCGGTCTGGACCTCTCCAGCCGCTCGCCGCGTAAATGACCAAATTTACCGCGTAATTAAAGCATTTTCATTCTGGCAAGGAACCGCATAAATGACCAAACGCGTAAACAAAAACCGCGTAAATCCAGACTACTGTATACTGTACTGTACAATCAAACAATCTCAGTTTACATGTCCATACAGTCAATCTCACAACTGGCAAAACCTGGTTTTCTGGATAAACTTCACAGAATCAAGACTCAGTAATGTGCACAGTGTAAAGCAGATTTCTTCTTGTTGATTATATTTATACAGTAATTATAATATACAATGTGTATTTTTATGAAAAGAAAAAACTCAATTACAGAACTTTATTACAAATTACACATACAGATCTTAACTGTAATAATGAAGGTACTTGATGCATACATGACAATGACATAAAAATCAAAGCTCACTTTCATGACAGGTAAATGCATTAACTTTGCTATAAACTTTGATTCATTTGTTTTACAACAAATTCGTAAGGCGACTATTAGGTAAACGAAGAAAAAAGTGGTTTTCTCACATCATAATTGAAAAATATACAGTACGTACTTTTTACTGCTTTCTAATTAGTTTCACCTAACCAACAACTGTACTG